TTTTTTTTTATATTTTATTTTACTGATTTCATTTCATTAAATTAATTTAATTTAATTTAATTTATTTTTTTTAATTTTTTATTTGACTGGTTTCATTTACTTTAATTTATTTTATTTTACTTTATTTTATTATATTTCTTTGCCTTATTTATTTTATATTATTTTAAGTTATTTTTTTTAATTAAAATATTTTAATTTAATTTATTATTTTTTTTTTTATTTTATTTAACATTAATTTACTTTGTTTATCTCATTTTATTTTATTTTATTTTATTTTATTTTGTTTAATTTCATTTCTTTTTAAACTGAAGTACAATAAGTCCTTTATACTAATTAGCGCTGCCATATTTTTCATTTGTTGTCTCCCTGCATTGAGCTTGCGGTCCATTCGCTGCTGTTGCTTTTGGTTTATTAATGTTAGCGCATACTTTTGCTTAATTTAATTTTAAACTCCGGCCCAAACATAAATTTACGCAAAACGGGGACATAGCCATCAAATATGACTTTTACAAAGAAAGAAAGACAAATACGTTTGTATGTATGGAAGCCTCACGGACTTGACTTGAAATGGTGAAGGCAACCGCACGCAAGATTAATTGAAATTTTATGAGCATCACATTTTCCGCGCGTAGACACAAACAATCAGCGAAACCACCTTTTGCCAACCCTTGAGGTCATTGAAGGTGAAACCGTTGCCATTTGCCGACACTTACACCGACACCGATACCGTGGCCAGAGTGCGAGTCGAGGACGGACTTGGCAAATTCGCGCTGCTGTGTCATTGCCGTTACTGTTGCTGCCGATGTACCGAGACAGAGCAATGACAATGAAGGCATGACCAAGAGCGCGCCGCGTCGAAGGAAAAACACTTGAAAAATGGCAAACACATTAGACAAACGAGCTGGCAGGCGGGCGAACGCGGGATATGTTTTGTTTGACGACTTGCCAAGTGGTCTGGCATGGGCTGAGGACCGTCAACATGAACGGAAAGGTCTTGAAGAAGCTTACGCGAAGGCACAGCGCTGAAATGGACGGGGCGAACCCCAATGACTACTGACAAATGAGCGATCTCACTGACGCGATCCTGCTGACGCGTCAAATAGAAATTAATAGACTGTGAAATTATTTACGTGCTCTTGTGTGTGTGTATGTGTGTGTATGGCATACGCCTGGACACGTTCAAGCCGCACACTGAAGCCCAGCAAAGTTGGCTAGCGGTGTTTGCTGAGCGCTTAGCACTTTCGTAAGCGGTAAACGCTTTAAGCAAAGTGTTGACTACAACAGCCACCATGACGACGTGATGAGCCGAGACGGAACTCATCATATGTGCGCGTGTGTTTGTGTGTGGCCATAAGTTACCGACCGGTGCCAATTACGGCGTAAATGTGCCTACGATTTTTCACACAAATTTGACATTTGCAAATCGGCAAACGTCAGTGGTGCAGTGGTGCAGTGGTGCAGTGGCGCGATTGGGCGATGCCAGGTGGGCTGAGGCAAATACATCGCGCCGCTTATTTCGCCGTCATATACAGAAAGGTGGCGAGCGGCACACGAAAGTAAATCGCAAATTGATTTTTAATGTCGAAATTAACCCAAATTGAAGGAATTCGCTTTCTACATTCCCGCGAACTGTGTCGGCTTTGGCCTGGGAACTTGCAGCGCTAAGTAAAGTTGGTTAAAGCGGCGCGCAGATGGCGTTGTAGGATATATTAACTTTGTTTACATAACTCGTGTTGGCAACTGCATCTATAATAATGTAAATACAGTCGTTTCCCTCGTCATCGTTGCCTCAGAACATAATGATAGAATATCTACGATGAGTTTCATGAAATCAGTAATGAAAGCTTGCCGCTAGGTGGCGCTCATGTCGAAAAGTGCGAAAAATAACCGTTAATACGCAGGTAAGAAGCAAGGGCATATCCACCTGGATACAGATACACACAGCGATGTCCGCACGAAATTATAATTTTGCATATTCTATTTTTTGCCGTTAAAAAACATTTTGGATACCCAAACTTCACTGCAGTAGTCGTGAATCTAAGGTTTCGCACGCTGGGTGGGCTCTTCCTTATTTATTTATTACTTTTCTTTAAATTCCGATTTTTTTTTTTTAATTTTTTAATTATAACTTTTTTCGTTTTTTATTTTTTTCATAAAGAAACATTTTTCACATTTCATAAAGCTGCCTGCACCTGCCCGAGGCGTAGAAAATAACGAGCCACTCAATTGTTGGGCAAGTGCCAAGGCGAGGCAAATGCGAAACCGCAATTTGAAATTTAACACTTAAACTTGTTGATATTTGTCAGTGTCAAGTGTCAAAAGTAATTACGAAATAAATGAGAAGGAAGGGCGATGGAGGCACTTTAGCTGTTGCACCGCTGCAAGCGAGCCCGCTACGCGGTATATTGCGAGTTCGCATTATCTTATTATGCAAAAGTTCTGCTTGTAATTTAGTTCCATTCCGCTTATCAACACAGACAGGAGTACGTGCTCGAAGGATATATCAATCTTGGTTGCATATCCCTTGCATATCCTTTCGCACTTAACCCTAATGCAGATCAGCCGTTTGGATAAGCCACAAGAAAACAGCAACAGCAATAATAACAATAATAATACTCACCAAGTGTAAGATTATGTCGCAATTTTTATTTGTGTACAATGTCCAGCAAACGAGTATAACTCCGGCGGGGTTGACAGGCCTCCTTCGCGCGACTCCTTTCGGGCGAGTTTCTTTATTTTCGAGTGTACGAACTCATTTAAATTGGCTTAATGAGTTGACAATGCATATCCTTTTACACATAACCTTCATATGCAGTTGTCCTCACAACTTACAACTCCTTTCAGCAGCTGCGCATAATTTTTATAAGTCAACACCGTTACAAATGCACATTTATTCAAAATCCACTTGTATATTCGCCAGACACTCTGCTCTCTTCAACTTGTCATAATCGCCTTCGTGCGCCGTGGCTGTCCTTCGCTCTGCTGAAAATTCGCACTATGTTAACGAGTGTCCTTTCGCTGCAGCGCACCACACTCACGCATCCTTCACGATAATTGCGTGCTTAATTCAAAACGATAAAATTTTTCAGTCGACACAATTTCTGTTGTTGACGCTTAATTTAAATTGAAATTCCACTGATAATTTCTGGTGGGCAGTCTCTCAACAAAGGGTTGAATATAGTTATCGGCATTTAAAAAAAAAAAAAATAAATAAATAAAATTCCTACAAGGTGGTAAATGATAGGTGGAGAGAGGAGAAAGGTGGTGTCATAAATTGGTGTAGTCAGAGAAGTTTTGCGGACATATGGAGAGGACAACCACAACAACGCTTGGAATCAAACCGAATCTTTTGAACAGCGTTGCCAATTAAAAATTTGAAATTCAATTTCAATAAGATCTATGACTTGGCAACCTCGCCACAGTAAGCAGAAGAATTAATGCATAAAATATTTTAGATCTTGAAGCAAGACGCTTGCTGGAGAATCCTCATTGTCTTACATTTAGTGATCGAAGTGAATTTTTTTGTTGTGAAAATGTCTGTCCCTTGTCTCTCAACTAAAGTTAGAGCAGCAAAATACTAGTCTCTAAAATGTCATCTGTGGGTGAACAGTCTTCTTTGTGAGAAATTTTTCACACAGAAGTCCAATGTTTTGTCATTCGCATAGTCTTAAAGTTGAGAAGAAGTGAATTTTTTTTTGGGAAATGATGCCAGATTTGGAATATATTTATGTCAGGCGGCAAAAGAGTTGCTCTCGACGAATAGGTATGATGAAAGAGTTTTGTTGATATGGCTCATGCAGAGGTGTTCTCAGCATATTACCCTCATGTGGCGGTACGGAGCGAAAGGAGGATACTTACGAAATTGTTTGTAAGCTTCAGTTTTTAGGACGAAATAACGAAAGTACCGAGAAAATTTATAAAAATTCCATATTTTAACTGCTGTCGTCAGTCACAAAGAGAATAGAAGGTGGAAAGGAGAGGCAGAGAGAGAGAGAGAGCACTGATGTTAATTCTGCTCGATATTCGTCTATTGAGAACTCTGGTACTAGCAGATCACAGAGTTCTAGGAATATATTGCAGGGCAAAGCAGAAAAGGGAGCGTCAAGATGGGAGCAAAACTTCTCCTCCTTCCGCCGCTAGACGAGGGAAACTTGAATGAAACGTGAGTGGCAGAGATCATATCCTTTTTACTCTCCGAAAAAGATGGTCCTAAAGTAATTTAGCTTTTTGCGGACCACACCAGAAGAGCATAAGAAATTATAAAACCCAAGCGATTTGCAAGTGTCTCATGTAGAGGATGATGTAAAAGACTTAAGTGGATGTAGGGAGCTCTTTGGAGTTGATTAAGATATTGAGAAGGAAATTCTATGGTGAAACCAGTTCAGCGAATTAAACTTAGAATAACATTTTTGATGGACTAATTTAATTCAAATGCAGCGATTAAATTACCAAACGCTCCCAATGCTTTCAGCGCTTGTTTGAAAATGCAATTTTTTATGATGAAAACATTTCTGTCTTTCTTTCCCCATAGCCTTAGCGCAATTTAAAATAATTTGAGAATTTCACGCATTCCTGTCTGTGAGTCACAAGCGCCTGCGGCAGGACGTTACGTGGTGGTCAAGCAGTTATTAGCCGCCACTTGTTGGAATGTGCAGCATTTTCAAATACTCGTACATATCTTGTGCCACATGTGCGTGTTTTGTTGCAATTTGTAAGTGCAACGTAGTGTGATATGCGGCAAACTGCATACAAATGACAAAAAGTTATGAACATTGCAACATTGCGTGGCATCATTAATTGTGTGCCGCGGGTGTTTCTTCAACCATTTCATTTAATGCATGGACGTACATAGATAGCTATGTAGTTACATGAGAAAATCAATTAAAAATTATGTTTGAATTTTCCCTCGAAATTCTTCCAAAGAAAATTCATATTCTCACGCTTGTCCACACTCAAGCACTCGCAGCATCTTTTGCTGTCTCCACAGCCTTTTCTTGTTACCACCAACAGCCACTTTCCACACGGTGTTGCACCCACAAAAACTGAAAAACATGAAAAATGTTCAGCAAAACAAATTGACAAAATTGTTCGCACCTGGCCGGTCATAATGTCCACTACCGTTGCGGGCTACGCTCGGCGGCCGGTCTCCGGTGGCAGTGGCAACTGGTCGCCGCTACTTTCACAGCTTCTGCAGTGAGTGGTGATTTTGGGCTGGTGTGGGCAGCAGGCAACGACCAGTCGACAGCATAAAATTCCCAGTAATTTTCGCATACGTCACGGTCACATTTGCGCTACCAAACATCACCCATCACCCATGGCCCAACTCACCTGCTCACTGCTCATTTTCATTGTTTGTCTTGCATATCGAATGACCATTTGCCACTGAGTCCGCGGTAACCCACTCGTAGACTGCTAGATGTCAGCTCGGCTGCCTCGCTGGCTGGGAAAAGTGCGGACGTGATTTTATTGGCTAACGAAATTAAATATTTTCCTCGGCTTCGGCGCGAAAAATTTGCAACAGCTCAGCTAAGTATGTGCAACATTGCGGCAGGGAACACTAAAATTTCTTTCTCCTCCAGCACTTACCGTTAGCAATGCATGTGATTGTTTCTGGTTAGGAAAATATTTGTGCTTGCTTCATTGCAGCGTTACTAACATGATAATATCCGCCATTCGAAATCACAACTACCGGTGTGACGAATGCCAAGTAGCTTGTGGGTGACTAAACTGGAAAATTTGCAAAAAAAAAAAAATAAAAAAAAACAGTTCAGAGGTATTTTCACATCATTAAAAAGTCTAATTCAAGTTGTAGCAAATACGCTCATACTGATATGCTTCAGCAGGTGCCTAGAGGCTCATCCAAAACGGTTAGTTGTCATTTTGTGGGGAGAGCTGCCGACTATGAAACGGAAGGGCTCGTGTCCTGGTTACTCAAATTTCGGTCGCCTCTTGGTGCATTTCTGACACGAAATATAAGCTCCTAATAAAAGCGAGGGATTAACAAAAGTTCGGTCACCTGGTGACTTTCAATTTGCTTTTGTTAAATCTAAAAATACCAAGTCCTTTGTAATTACTTTATTAGTCTTCCTTTTAACATTAGAGCGATGGGTCAGACGAAATTCCACCACCAACGCAAACAGAAATTCGCGATTCGTCATTCTCTTCGGGTTTCGGCGTAATTTACAGCCAATAAAAATATTCACTGAATGCCGAATTACGGAACGATTGTACCGTCTTTAAGGACTATTTCGAAGTGATTGATGACAACATACCGTAAAATTTTCCGTAGAGGACTAGCACCGAGAAGGTCGACCACTGATGACGTCACTGTAGCTCTGGTGAAGTCCGAGATTGATGAAAACACAGGATTGGCACAAGAAATCCAACACTTCTGAATAAACGAATAATTTTATTGCGATCTCTGGAATCGAAGACATGCGTCCAGCACCATATTCCCCAGATAAAACACCTTGTGATTTCTAGATAAAAAAAAATTTAAAGGAAATGGAACGAGCAATGTAGGGCAGATAAAAAACGACAAACATTACGAATAAATACAAAAAAAAAAATGTTTTCGGATCAACTTACCGAGCTTTTGTTAATCCCCTCGTATATATATATGTATACAAATCTCGAGGAAATCTTTTCTTGTGTTGATGTCTCCGTCCTATATATTAGAAGGGTATGTTCAGGTAGATTCTGCTGATTGTAAGACTGGAACCAGATAGAACCCATCAAGTGATGGATTGATTTTTCGAAGACAACTAGAGAGGACAGAACTAGTTTACTCATTTTTGGAATCTCGTCGTTATATCTCAGCAGTAGCACGCTTTCGGTTAGGAGGTATTTGTGGGTAGGTGAAACCCCAATTATTCTTTTGGAGGCGGTGCGTGAGATATACAAATCTTACTCCTTAAGCCAACTTATAACAAGAGATTCAAATCTTGCTTGTGCTTAGAAACACATTTTTCGCTGGGGTTCCGAGCCTGGCAACCCGGAAATGGTGATTGATTCCTAATTCGAGGACTAGCGAAGTCGTCAATCAGTCCCAGCCCATTTGAAGAGCATAAGAAGTTCTCTTAACCGTTACTTCGTCGAAGGTCATCAATCAACTGAGACATATACCTTATTGATTCAGGGACCGAACATTCCAGGTACAGCCGCAGTATCTAAATGCTTCATTGTGAGAATTTTGATTAGATTATTATTTAGATTCCTCCGAGAGTATTTCTGACATAAAATGAGAATTCTTTATAAATTCGATCTGCTCGGAGGCGATTCAGGAAAAAAACCGTCGGTACCTCCGTATATTGAACAAAAATAAAATCTAAACTCGTACCATACTAAAAAATTACTTCAGCAACCAACTCCATAGAGGTTTGTCCCATGGCTGGAATCAACAGTTTAGGTTCTCACCCGAACTTCATAGTTCGCTTCCATTGGAGTTTGTTTTATGGCAGCAATTCCAAACAAAGCTGCACGGTTTCCAGATAGGCGCAACAAAATAGCGAGCCACTATCTTAAAGACCGAGGTCAGAGAGCATCCACAGGTTCCACCTACAAAAGCGGCGATAAAGCTTGAGCGGACTCTATGAGTGACTCCAATAAAAAAATATCCTCATTTCATCCATCTCGCTAAAAAAATTTTCTTTTCCATTAAATATTTTTCATTCAGCTCGCTTAGCTATCCCATGAGTTTCCTGGTATTTTCGAATTTAATCTACGAAAGGCATCTTGTATTCTCGAAATGTGACATGTGTAGTTACATATATAGATGTAGAGATGACTGCCGTTGCAGGTAAATTATTAATCTTCCTCAAATTAGCATCTTGATTGTATTTGTATTTGTTGCATGCAACGTCTCCTAGTACATATGTGTGTACGTAAGAAATGATTACAAGAACATTGATCACTAAAAACCATTGATCTCAGAACGAGAAGTAGAAGCAGCAGCACCAACAGGTTTCCTTAACGAATGCCAAAACAAATACGAATCAGCGCACCAACAACAACAAACAGTGTGTGTTGTTGATATGATTGCGTTAATTAATCTTTTGAAATAAATGGAAAAATCGTTTTCCGAAAACATGCAGACGGACAGACAGACAGACAGACAGACAAACTGAGACACACTTATGAGTAAGCCAAGTCAATCACTTGTGTGTGAATGCATCTCACGGCTTGGAATGGTGACGAGTGCGTAGTCACAACAGTGCGACGGCACAAAATCTATCTCACGGCCAGTTGGAGGCACCAAAGTGTTGAGCTCCAAGTGCCTACCAGCCTGTCAGCCGGACATACTGATGTGCTGGTGATGTCTCTTAGCTGAGGGCAACGCGCTGATGAGCTGGCATGTTGCTGCCAAAGTCCATCCAGGTTGAACACTCCCAACGCTGACTGGTGACTGGTGGCTGGTGGCAGTTGGTTGTTAGCGTGCAGGCGCCTGCCTCTCTGTCAAATTAAGTGTTTGTGTCGCTCGCCATTAATCAAAACAAATCAAAAATATACGAAAAAAACAAGAAAACTCCCGCCAAGAAGAAGAAATCTTGGACCCTACATGTGTGAGATTGCCATTTCGCCCTCTGCCACAGACACTGCATGCATGCAATAACAGCAGCAACAGCAACAGCAACAAGTCCGAGTGCTGCAAACACGCGAACAGTAGAGGATCAGCGTCTATGTTAAGCATCAGCTGTAGATGTCACCTGCTGCGCGAACACACACAGTCCGTCCGGATGGTTGGATTTTATTGCTTTCTTCTTATTGTTGCATATTAGGTATTCATCATGCAACATAGCACACTTACATGCAGTTAGTATGTGCATACGTATATGTGTGCGTGTAACACATCTTTGATGAATGATGGACAACTGTTGATTTGTTGTTGTTGCCCATAGTAAGCGATCTTCAGTTATACAGTAAAACATTAGCCATTTTTCTGATGGAGCTGCGCCTTCTGCGAAAGTCTGGGATAGAGACAACTCGTTTAGTAGAATTCTATATTATAAGCGCTGCAACAACAGAAGCTTCCAAAAATATCCGTATCCGTAGCAATAATTAATCGAACTTGTTGCTGTGGGAACTCTTTCTGCGCTTCAAATGACTTTTGTTTTAATTAATTTTCAAATATTTTTTATTAAATGACAATCAGTGGAGAGTTGTGTGGGAAAATGGCAGCACGAAATGAAAAAGTATTTTGAATAAGCGACAATACTGAGCTTGGAATGGTGATGGTTTCCTCACATGCGTTAAGGTCGTTTGTGGACAGTTTTGTTCGAAAAATATAATTTTCTAAAATCTAAATGGCCATAAATTCCACTGAGAGCTCCAGAAAAAGAAGTAGGAGTAGAAGTTTCCATTTAATAACACATACCTATACCTATCCGATAAGTGTCTTGAGTGGTTGATTAAAGTGGCTGCCGTGCAACGGTCCTATTGTGATACCTCTGAGTATCCCAATTATCCCCACCCGCTAATCGAGCCAATGTGTGGAGTTTGGAAAACTGAGCAATCGTCATGTCCTCGAGACTTCAGCTTACTACTCCACAGTGCGGGGCATTCGCAAAGGCAGTGCCTGCAACTTCTGCTCAGCTCTTGCCACTTTGTAATAACCAAATTAAACACATGGAGACTTCTTCATTTTACAAATCGAGAACGGAATGAGAAAACTCAATCGTGATGACGAAGTTGGAAAATATCACTAACTATTGCAACTTCCAGGGTTCTTAATGCGTCCTGGCTATCCGAACCGATACACGATTTTCTGAGAGCACCGTTGAGCAGTAAAGCCACGGACTCCGCCTGAAAAACACTATAGTGATCCACTAGATGAAAGTATTTGCAAATTCCAAGAACTCAGAGCAAACTCCGCCACCGAACCTGTTAACTAGTTTTGAGTCATTCTGTATTTGCTGGTGGTAACCTGTCCCATTGGTTCCTATCCCGAATAATACCTTGAAACCTGTCGTAAAATCAGTAAATGACAAGCAGTAATCCGCCTTTTCGATTAATGTCTTACCAGAGCGCAAATTTTAAGTCAAATCAGATTGCTTAGCACGTACAAGACCCAAAAGCGGACTGGTCGAAATTGAAGACGCGACCTATTAAGGGACGTGTACAAATGCGATTTCGTACTAAAGAAGAAGAATTCTAAATTCTCGAATACAGCTTTTATCGCCACTGGCGCTTCCTGCTGACTGCGGCGGCGACTTCCCATTCAAGTTGAGAACCACTTGCAGTTGCTTTTGTCAGCCAACAGATGCCACACACGCAGCAACCATTCAACTGCCGCTAGACGGCGCACGCGTTGAGTCACAGTGGGCTTGTTTGAATGATTTTAACATATATTTTTTTGCAATTTCTTTTCATCTTTATTACAATCAAAAAGTACACGATTTAGGTAAATACAAAAACTGAAGTTTAGATTTCTATTTCATAAAATAATGCAATCATAATTACAATAAAACCTACATACTAACACACATTATTTTGATTTTTTTCTAACTTTAGAAGCTATATTTTATTTACTTACGTCTATTACAAAAGCTAAATATACATACATACAATTAATAAATATATATGTATTTTCTTAAATACACTGAGAGAAATTTTAATTTTTAATAACACAATAAAATTTATTCAATTATATTCTATAATACGGGTATACGAGGATAATACGAAAAAATATCAGAAAAAATTTATAATTAATTGGAAGATTTTTTTTTTAACTCTTCAAAATAACAATGGTTTATATGGAAATTGTCATTTGGTGCGGTCTGTAGGTAGAGGGAATCACTGGTGAATATTTTTTCAAAAAGGACGCCGGCCAAAATAATTTAATCCTAGAAACTTTTGGTAAGCTACGTACGGCAAAATGTGGTCGAAAATTGGGCCTCTCCGATCGCAGAGAACGAATTGTAGGTCCAATTGGTGACATACTAGAGAAGCCGAAAGGATTATGTATAAAGTTATATATATATATAATTGGTGCTTTGTAACCGCTGAAGCGATTTTCGGCCGAGCTCCTCCTCCAATTTTTGGCTTTGTGTCTCGATGTTTTACAAGAAATTGGAGGGACCCACAAACGGCTGATGGGTCTTTATGGGGAGCATACATAATATTTCATGTCTGAAATACATTTTTTTTTTAAATTAACTTTTTATAACTTTTGCATTTTGGTCGACCAGGATTTGAGCTCGGTGCTTCCGAATGGCAGTATGCAAAGCTAACCACTCGGTCACCTCGGCTGCCGATTGGTAGAGATATAATCGAAATTTTAGTGCTATTATCGCAGAAGCCTTTTAAATTAATTCCTGCAGACCATGTAGAAATATACAAAATTCAAAAATATTCATTAAAACTTGGTTTTTTTGAAAGTGTAAATTGAGGATCTAAATATGAGCAGCCGGTTTTAATCCGCTGTGTAGGCCCACTGTTCTAAGGAGCTATCGAACAGTGAACCCAATTTGATTGCTAGTTTCATTTTAAACCACTCATACACACCCATTTATGTCAGGCCGGGCCTGTGGGCAGGATTCCTCTGGCGTTCACTGCTCTAACATAACATTTGAAAGCACTGAAAGCTCTGAGGCAGGCAGAATATTTATTCCAAGCAAACCCGAATTACTTTCCAATCAGACCAAAATATATTTTTGTGTTTTGTAGGTCCGAGGACAGAGAAATCTTATTCACTTTTTTGAATTGGTGACACCCTTTATAATTCAGCACAGAGGATGTCTCGTTAGTCTAATCTTAAATATTTACATCAAGTGTTTACTGATTTATTCAATTTTAAATTCTATCTAAGTTAGACAATTATTGAGTTTAACATTAATTTCAAACTTCTATTTACTTTACTTTAACTTCAGTTACTTCCAAATTCGCTATCTAAGACTTAAGCCAACCTTAGGGTAATTACAACTTTCATTTCTTCATGACGACTTAGACCTGTAATATAATTTCATATCATTCATATTTGTATAATATTAATTCGCTATGATCTTCTACGTAAGCTTTATGGCCTCAACTCTCTACTGGATGGAGATGTAGGTGGTCATTTCAGGTCTTAAGTGCTTCGAATGCTTCGTGAATGTAGTTTTTTGTTTGATGTATGTATGTATGTATGTAAATGAGAAAAGCTTACAACTCTACACGTGCGGTAATTGTTCTAGTGTAGCAGCAGCAACGTTATTGCCCACCTGTGCCGGCGGCGGTGGCGCTCCCGTTCCGCCACCGCTGCCCTCAACGGAGCCGCTCTCCGCCTCCGAGTCCTTGATGGAGCCGCCTTCCTCGTCGCCGACAAGCGCACGATACTTCTTAGCGATCGCCTCCCAATCGGCTACATTCTCGATACGATTCTGATTGGCAGCGGTAAAGCTCGTTTGCGATCCGAGCGGTGACAGATGTACCACAGAGAGAGCCACCGAGTCTACTGGCCATTCAAAATTTGTTGAGCGTAGCACGTTTGTTTTGTTGTTTACATGAAATTGTGTATGGGAAGAGGATTAAAAGAAATAAAATGAGTTTTTGTGCTTCTTTAAAAGTTGATAAAATTTTGCGAAATTTTGAGCTAGCGCAAGCTAGGGAGCCAATTCTCAGTGTTTTCAGGCGGGGTGGAAGTAATGAAATCATTCTTCTCTCCTACCCTCATACGATTGTGTGAGTTTACGTTATAATTATTATTATAAATTATTTCAATTATTATATATTAAGCATAGGCATGTACATATGTGAGCTTTCCATAAAAGCTCCACTAGCGCTCTTTAAGCAGCGGCTATAAACGCGATTGGTTCACTTTGCTACGCGTAGCTGCAAAAACTCGCTCAACGCACGCGCGCACCTCACAAACTTTTAATAGCTTTCAAGCGCTTTTCTACTGTATTTATGTACACAGTTTGTGGAGTGGGCGTGGCATTTTTAATTTTAATTTCTTTTTTTCATTTCGTGGTGAGCTAAAATTGGAAAGCAGCATTGCAGCGACACATACACTTCCTACCTTTCTTGATCTTCGAAAGCCACTTGGCGCCAGCCTTTGTGCGCGGACTGGCCTGGCGTATTCCCATCATCTGTACCAGACTTGGACGCTTCTTTTTCTTCATGCGCGCCTATGCGTTGAATGGCGTGTGAATTTGTTGGAATTTATGTTTGTGTGTTGTTGGTTGATGAACGGTGATGGGCAAACGCGTGTAGCGTTGGCAGTTGGCGGTTGGCAGTTGGCAGTTTATTTGTTTATGAGGACAAAAGACAACGACAACAATAACAAACATATATGTATGAGTTGGAGCAGTGGCAAATAGACAAACATCGACGACTACGAGATCAGGTGCTGTGCTGAGAGTGCTCTTCTCGGATAGTGCAGAGGACATAAACAGGATGCTCGTGCGTATACAGTGTGCGAGAGAAAAGAGTGAGAGTAGATATATTTTTACAGTTAAAACCGGGAAACAGTTCAAATGAAAAGTGCAGCAGAAAATGTGCAGAAAAGTTGAAAATAAAAATCGATTTGTTGCCATTTTGTTTTAAATGGGTTGGGGAAAAGGTCAACTAATGGTGTTTTAGGTAAAAGTTGTGTTGTTTGCGGGTGGACCCGCCTAGCAGCTGTACTACACTCTTCTTCTTTACCTTGACCTTCTCGACGATCCACATAAACCATGTGGTAACTAAATTAAGCGGCGAGGGGGCGGTTGTGGTGCGATGCATGTTGCGTATAAGCTTGGACAGGCCGAATTTCCATTCAATATCGGATTGAGCCTGAATTCCGCGAATTGAAATTTATTTTGTTGTGTTGATTTTCAAAAAACAACAACGCATTCCAAAAAGTAGGCATTTGTATTTGATGGATGATGTGTTGAGGTTATGTTAGAATGCGGTTTACACATTCCATTGTGAGTGCACGGAGATGAGTGTACAGTTATGTAGAGATGGAAGAAATAAAGAACACAGTATATGCAATATTTAATATTCCAAGCATTAACAATTTCTCAAATAATCAATCAATATTACTTGTATGCTGAAAGAAAGATATATGTATGTATATCACAATTATTTCTATATATATTTGTAAATAGCCTGCAAGCTTTGAAAACAATTAATTTAACGATTTCTAATATTGTTATACTCTCAACTTGCTCCTGGCCTTAAATTACACAAACTCTTGGAGGCAAAATCGTGATCTTAACGCCAGCTGCCTTTTTACTAAAATAAAACTTCATGAATTTCTTTATTAAATAAATCGTTAAGATCACAATAAAGCACACGAAAGCTTTCAAAGCGCACTTCTCGGTAAGCTGCATAGCTTTCGCTAGTTTAATAATTCGCGCTGAAAACTTTCATCTTTGAAGGTAAAACAATATTAGAAATACTTAAAAAAAATAAAAAAAAAAAGAAATAATGAAATAAACGTTTTTATAACTTCCATGCAAGAACAACATGCAATTAAATTCAGTGTTACACAAATAAAAATAAATAACGCACTAAATGTATTAGAAAGTCACACACTGAAAGCACGCAGCTTGGCTTTTTATTATCAAAGCTTTTAACTTTTTTTTCTGAAAGCTCAGCATTTGCTTGAAAGCACACGTTTTTATTCGGTTTAAAGCCATCTATTTAGCTAAAACATTTAGAAGCTTCAAATAAGACATTCTTATATACATTTCTATTCTAACGCTTAGCTGGGCACACATAGAAAACTAAACTAATTAAGCTAAGCTTTTATTTTGTACATTATCATAAAGAAACAACCGTTTAGCTAGGTTAATTGTATCTTTAAGATCGTTTTCGGCGAATACTCATACGTAACGCTGGTCTTATATCCGTTCGTAAGCCGAAGTTGCAAGTCTGGGCAAATGATGGATTTACTGTATTATAAGTATATAGTTTGAAAGCTTTTCAACGGCATTGCTGTAAATTATTTTCCTAAGTTAAATTTGCAGATTGTAAGATCAATAGCTTTTTTGGGCTTTAAGCTTATTTACATAGCTGGAAGCTGCAAGAGCTTTAAAGCACTTTTTATGAATACATATTTCTGCACAAAGCTTCCAACTGTTCGGAATTTTATGTTATTTACGATTCATTAATTCGACGTAAATATAAATAAAATTTTAATTGATTAATTATTTAAACTTTAATGAATTAATTAATAACAAGTCTCTTTTAATTTATGGAGTGTGATCATATTTAACGGTACTTCTCAAAAACAAATTTTTTCAATTTAAGATTATTATCTTGTGTTGGATTTCAAACATTTTTTGATTGTTTTTCAAAGTGGTTTATACGGATTAATTAAAAAGAAAACCATAAAGTGTTTTGAACAAAATAATGAAAGTTTTTAAAAGTTATTTTTAAATTAATAAAAGTATTTCTATGAGGGTATTTTAACCTCAAATATTATTGTAAAAGAGGAAGGAGAAAAATCAACTATTTTTGAACTTTTTATTTAAAAAAAAAAATACTTTTGCCCAAAATAATATAGTTACGAACCGATCAAAGTGAAAAGCTTATCAAAAAGTTGTAAACAGTTATCTGAGGAGGTTTAAATACCAGTTGTGGAGAAAACAAAACCACTGTACCCCGTAAGACTTTATTCCGAAGAATATCATGCTTCAAAGGTTGACAAAAAATTTTAATTTTTTCTATTGCATTTTCGAAATACCTAAATGAATTAAAATAAATTTATTGAATATTTCTGAAAAGATGTAATAAAAGGGTGCAGCAGACGCACCCCTTCTGAGCGCCGAGTACCCAAAACTTGTTGGTAAGAACTAAAAATTTATATGCAATGAAGGTTTGCAGTTAAATAAATACGTTTGTATGTACCATACCAAATTCGACAAATTAAAAGTAAAAGAATACTACCTGAATCCGCTGATAGGTGTCGGACATCATAGCAATCAACAGGTTGATCAACACAACCACCGACACCAACATGTAAATGCCGAAGACTATTTTGAACAGATACTCCACCCAATAGGGCTGAGTGGGTTCGGCGACATTTTGTATCTTGTCCACTTGCGTTTGTTCGGTTGTCGTCTGACCGAAGACGGCGAAGAAGAGCAACTCAAAAGAGGTAATCGGATGCATGCGCACTGGGAGCCCAGCCAAATACACAAAAACAACAAACAACATTTGGCAGGACATAGCGCAGGCAGGATGAAAGGAAAAAATAATAATAGATAAAAAAAAAATTAAGAACCACCACCGACAAAGCAATCAATCCAGCGATTGGGTGACAGCACATTTTTTTTTTATTTTTTTTTGTCATAACCATTTTCCATTAAGCATTTTGTATTATTTTAAAAAGTGTTTTTTTTTTGTATTTATTTTTCAATGGGAAGAAAGAAGAAAAACACAAAAGAACGTACGATTAATAATTCGCATGCGATACCAACCTGTATGCGCTGATAAGTATCCGACATCATAGCAATGAGCAAATTAATAAGAACAACCACAGACACAAGCAAATAGATGCCGAATACGAATTTGAACAGGACCTCGGTCCATTCGGGGCGCAGATGGCGCATCGGATTGATGTCCACCGTCGTTGTTTGTCCAAATACGGCGAAGAAGAGGCGCTCGAATGCCAAAAATGGCGTCATAGGTCCTTGGAGACGGAGTGTTTGGCAAGTTTTTCGTTTCGATGGGAATTAAATATTTTTTTTTTTTTGTAATTTTTTTTAGTTTTGATTTGTAAAGGAAATGCCGATAGAGAACGTAATTAGTTGAGAATTTAACAGTTTTTAATTAAAGATATTTGGCAGCACATTTTAGTAGCCACAAATTTACGCAACGCAATGGACATCGAGTGACTGTGTGAAGGCGTGGCGGCATTTTGCTTTTGTAAAATATTGAATTATTGAACTTTTTTTTTGCTTTTGAGTTTTGGTGCATCACTCACGTTTAAAGCAACACATGTTTTGTTGTTGTTGTTGCTGTAACTAACATCGAACTTTGCTTAGTGCTCATAGAAGCTGCAGGCGATTCCCGCCGGTATACGAGTATATAGGTACGTGTATGTACGAGTAGATATGTATGTATTGAGATTAGGATAAACAAACATCAACATGCGTCATTTGAATAAGGTTAGTAGGTACTTTTTAAAATTGTCTTTAATTAATTGTTGAATACAAGTGAATAAGTGGTAACAAAAATGATAGCATATAGAGAAGCAAACAAAAGAACAGTTGAACACGAAGACAAAAGAAAAGGAAAAGTTAAATTAAAATGTCCTGAGACTTTAACTGAACTATTTATGTATCTTATGTAACGAATCTTCGATTTGGAGCCGAAAGTTTGAAATGAAGCGAAAACTTTCTCTCTGCTGAATTCAAAACCTGCAGTTTTTCGTGGTTCGAAACCGTAATTTATCATTCATCGCTGTTAATACCGCTAATCCCTGCGCCCTATTCGTTTTTAATGAATTTTAATGCTGATTAAATCATTTTTTTCGATTATGGAAATGAAATTTCGACAATGAAAAATTTAACTGTCTTTTAAAACCACAAGCCTTTGAATAATTTGTCTCGGCTTTACCCGAATAATTCGTTCGTAATTCATTAAAATGTAATTAATAATTTAAATAGGTTTCAATTAATCTTCATCATGTTCGATTAAGCGATTAATTGCAAGGACAGTGTTCAATTAGGATACAATCAATGCTTTAACAAAGTAACCGAGTGGTTAGCTGCAAGTTTATCTAAATTCTAAGTTACTGCTCAGTTCATTTAAAGTGTCTATTAATCGGCATAGCTAAAATCTTACACGCGAACGCCAACTAAATATTCTATGAAATTTTGTTCAGTCCACAAATCGGGAAGGACACAACAGTACTTAGGAAATTACATGCGAACTGAGGTGACGTAAAATGCGACCGAGATACGAAAACCTTATAATAGGGAAAATGGACGGGAGACGAGCGCATCAGCAGCAACGAAGACAATCATGTATATATTGATGGATCTAAATGTGAGCCAGGCATTGCACAGGGTGCTTCTGTGACCAGGCCAATAACCAAGATAGCTTCAAACTCCATGGCCACAACTCTGTCATCCAAGTAGAAATTCTGACCTTTACGGAGGGTGCCAAATACGCAACCGCTTTAATATGAAAATCCCTCAGGTGTCAAAGTCCAAATGCGTGAGAGCATGTAAAGAAACAATTAGCACGCTACCGCGGAAAACACCGTGAATATTAATTGGGTCCCAGGTCGCATTGATGTAGAAGACAATGAAAAGCCGGACATGCTGGCTCGCACTGGCGCCGATATCGAGGCGGTCACTACCGCCACTTACGGTCTTGGAATTCATCGTAAGAAGGTCTTCTTGTACTTAATTATTGAGAAGCAGCGTGGACAGTAGCCGCACCAAACTGAACTGTTATTTGCATTAAACGTAAGAGAACTTAGCATTCTCCCTCTTTCAGCCAACTAACTCAAATAGGATAGATCACAGTTACTAATACTAATCTATGACCAAATCAACAAAACTTCCACAGAATCGGCATCAGTGATGTTGTCTTGTCCTCCTCAAGAACTTGAAACTAAAAAAATTGCTAAATACTGCTACACATATAATTCCTCATTATTGGATATTCGATTTATCAATTGTGTATCTCCTTATCGCGCTATCGCCTCTCTGTAGTCTAATCTTAAAAGTAGCTGCGATATTACATAATCCAAGCTCCCGAGCTTTTAGTTGGCGGATAACACTTTTAGGAATATTTCGACCATCACAGGGAGTTTACGAAGATAGAAAAAAATTTGTACCTGAAACTTTATAAAAAAATTGTGCAGAAGAAAAAATAAAAGAGAGCAAGAATAGTTAACTGAATACATTGAAGCATGCTTTGTTAAGGAAAGATGAAAAAAAAAAACACAATAAAAAATAAGAAAGAGGAAATAAAAGATCAAAAAAGCATTTCATAGAAAACATAGAATACAGTTTTGTGTGGCAACCCTAAGCAAACATTTATAATACACAACATCAAGGATGCACAGATTGGGCAAGTGAAGACCACTCAAAGCTAACATGCCCTCAAAAATGTACTTTAAAAAGAACTCGTAAATATTTGAAACGTTCAAAGGAGCACCGCAACTGGGTGAACCCAAAAGTTAATCAAAAAGTGAGGAACACAACATCGAAGGCAGCACGAAAAACAAAGTGAACGGCTTTCACAACCATTAGCAGATGACAAAGGTACTTAAAGGGCCACAACTTACGGTCGTCTTTGTGTTTGCGGCGAAATTCACTCGATAAACTTCGGCTGTCGATATAACGTTCAGCGGAGCTGGGCGGCGGTCGAGGCGTTGGCATGTCATCTGTGTGTTTCGCGCGCAGAGAAGTATAAGAGAGGTAAATATAAAGATTGGATTGTATGATTTCGTTTTGAAAATCGTTAAGCAGCAGCAGGAGTGAAAGGACATCTAGTACGAGTGGTCTGTAATTGTTCGGCATGCAAGCTATAACTGAGAGACTCTTTAGCTTGAAAGCCACCCCTTTGGGGCTATCCCTCGGGGCACCTTCAAAGCAGATACTTATCCATACAGTATTTTTTTATTTTTTTTTTAAATAACAGCAAACATTTAATAACGGCTAAAAGCTATTCTGAAGAGCGTTGCTTCCTTCAGAGACACTTTTCACCAAACGAAAATTAAAATTTAACTGAACTGAAATAACAAACACACAAACACCAACGAACTCAGTACTTACCGTCACTGAAGTAGCCTCGATTTCGATTGCGTTTTTCGAAACCTCTAAGATCCTCCGGCTTCAGATTCGCGAACGACTGATTCAGCGCCACAATGTGCATGGAAAACCCGAATACGAAGATGGCCAACACGGCCAAGAAACGTGCGAGATCTTTGAGTAGATCACCAATGATGATGGCCCATGGTCCGAAGAGATGATGGAAGGAGAGAAAGTCCAAGATTTGCACACAGGCAAGCAGAAAGGCCAGAGCGAAGCATTGATTGCGGCAATAGATCAGCGTTGGCCAGTAGAGTTTTGAGACGAAGACGAACGCGGCCACATGCACGCCGACACCGGCCATGCCCAAGAGTAGCACGAGCAGTTTTATGGATCCCAATCCAGATTTGTCAGATGGATTTGTCAGCTCGAACAAAAGTAGGCCACTCAACCAAATGAGCAGCCCAATTTCGTACCAGTAGGGGACCAAACTTAGACGCAGCACCGGATAAATGGGCGTAATGCCCACAATACTCAGATGGATCATTAGGTAGATGTGCGATGTGAGATAGGACATGAATTTGATGATAGGCACTTTGTTGAATTTGTGACCCATCGGAAAGGTGAAGCCGATCCAAACGGGCGGACACACAATGAAGGCAACTAAGAGGAGTAATATTTTCCATGAGGCCCACGTGAGTGAGCCACGCCAGAGTTCCTGTACGAGAGGGAGAAGTGGTTTAGTAATTTGAGCTGGGAACTAGACTTAAAGCCTTACCTGCAGATATCGCTGAACAACGGTGTGTGCAATGACCTCTTTTTGTTCGTTCTCAATTAGCACGTCCAGGAACTCCACGTTGCGGCGATCGGTTGCTTGTAGTATCTTGCCCGCCGAGTCGGAACCTGCTGCTAGCGCGAGCAGCTCGGTGGCCATTGCCTCACATTGTTTGCCGGCAGCTACTAAATCTTTCGCGCGTTCTTTTTCCTGTTGGAAAAGAGTTTGACACATAATCAAAAAGATCCCAACCGTCCCTTCCCACTACCAACCTTTGTTGATAAGTTTATATAAATGTTCGATAATTTGGCTGCGGTATCCACCGGCGCTGGCGACACAAGCACAAATTCTTGTATTGGCTTGTTGTTGTGGTTTTTGGAGACTACCATTAAATTGTAGACGAACCGCTTATCTTCCATCAGACTGTAGGTGTCGTGCTCTTTGTTCATCAGATACCGCAGCACATCGTTGTGGCCTTCGGAGGCGGCAAACCAGATTGCCGCACAACCGTAGTTCGTCTCCGACTTGGGTGAGGCGCCGGCCTCGCACAACAGTTTCACAACTTCCAAGTGGCCGGCTTTGGCAGCACAATGCAGTGACGTCCAACCATTCTTGTCGGTGGCATTTATTTCTGCGCCTTGACCCAACAGAATCTCCACCATCTGTATGTGACCATGCATGGAGGCGATGTGTAGACCGGTTCTGCCATGCCGATCTGTTGATTGGAGCAGTTCTGCTGAGCGACTCAGAAGCAAGCCAACCACTGACATGTGACCACCGAAGCAAGCCAAATGGAGTGGATTGTAACCCTGTAGCAGAAGATAAATTAGATTTAGCATTCGAAACATATTAACTTTTACTCACATTCTCTGTCGTTGCCGCCTCGACCTGCACTCCTGCTGAGTTCAGCAACAAACGCACCACATTCTCATTTCCCGAAAATGCCGCCAAATGTAGCGGTGTCATGCCCGATTCTGCCCCCAGCTCACCAAAGAGACTTTGGCCGGTCGGTGGCTCCGATTTCACCGTCGCCGGCACGCTCGTCAACAGCTCGCGCACAGTGTCCGCTTGTCCGTAGTAGGCAGCCACATGCAACGGCGTCAGTCCCAATTTCTTGCTGGTTATCCTCAAAGAGTTGGTACTTTTCAATGCATCCAATACCTGCCCATGACCATTTTGTGCCGCCAAATGCACGGCCGTAAAGCCGGCCTTATTCTCATCCGTACATGAGGCGCCCGCACGCACCAACGCCTTCACCACGTCCGCATGACCACCTTCGGCCGCCAGCTGTAGCGGTGTGGCATCAGTCAATTTGTTTCTAGCCGATATCACGCCAGAACGATCGAACTTCATTAGCTCCTCGATCACTTTCACGGAACCCTGCATGGCAGCGATGTGCGCACAGGTGTTGCCATCCTTGCTGGTGGCATTCACCAGCGATGGATGTTGTTGTAGAAATAATTTGGCCACTTCAGAGTAGTTGTTCTGCGCGGCGACATGTATGGGCTTTTGGCCCAGATCGTCGGTCGCGTCTATGTTAGCTCCGAGCTCGAGCAGAAGCTGACATACCTCCATCTGTCCACTAGCGGCGGCTAGATGGAGAGGCGTTTGCTTGCGCAACGTCAATATATCGATGACGGCATTGTGATCCTTGATGAGGAACTTCACGAGATGCGTGAAGCCATTCATCGCCGCCAGATGTAGCGCCGTGCGACCGACACGAGATTTCGAGTTGATAAACGCCTTGTTGGTGAGCAGCGCGTCGCAGACGTGCAGATACCCTCGTTCGGCAGCCAAATGTAGAGCCGAACGGCCCTCAGTGTCGAACACATCCACTCTGGCATGATTCGCTAAAAGGTTGTTGACCAGCTCCATGTGCCCGCGGTGACAGGCGATTAGCAACGGCGTCCAACCCACTGACGTCTGTCGATTCATGGCTTTCTGGATATCTGTGGGGTTCATGTGTGCGATCATCTCCATCAACACGTCGTTATTACCCGCGACGGCACAGTAGTGGAACGCAGTCTCCAGCAGGTTTTTCGTAGCCAACGTCACATCCGCGCCATTTTCCAAGAGCATGCGGACTATTTCCTTATCGGACTCAGGGATTTTCACCTCTTCTTTCGTGATTTGGCATGTGTAGTGTAGTGCGGTGGCGCCATCGTCGTTTACCGAGTTAATATAGGTGGTAGCTTTGTCCGGACCGTGTTTCTCCTTAACCATTTCGATAAGATGGCGAACGATCTCCGGATGACACGAGCGGCAGGCCATGTGTAGGGATGTTTCACCGGTCTGTAAGGAAGTTGGAGTGTAAGAGCATATAAATGTGCAAGTAATACCCTAAAGCTTGGGAGAAGAGGACTCACATTGGATTTGTAGAGCGGATCGCCACCATCTTCAAGGAGCTGTATCAGCGTTGCCAGATTACCATTACGCGCGGCCACATGCACCGGCGTCAGGCCATCATCGGTAGTTAAATTGGGACTAGCTCCGGACTTAAGGAGCATTAAGGCACAACGATCGCCATCCTTAACTCGTGCGGCTATATGCAGCGGCGTTTCGTGCATTGCACCGCCACGGACATGGACATCGGCGCCGAAGCCGAGCAATGTTTCGACGACGGCCGGTTTGGCAGACTCCACGGCAATATGGAGTGCGGTATAATTTTCCTACGAATACAACCAAAGAAAGAGAGGAAAGTATTAAAATTTCTATTCAGGACCTTATATGCTTGCAAGATACCCACATTCGTTGTGACATCAACCTTCTCGCCCTTCTGCAACAGCGTGTTAATGATGCCCGTATGGCCGTAAGCGGCCGCGGTGTGAATGCTGCGCGCGCCATTCTTATTTGGCATATGTAGATAGACGCCCTTCTTGAAGAGCATCGTCGCACACTCGGCATGGCCATTCAGCGAGGCGATATGCATCAGCGTGCTGCCATCCTTTGTGCGTTCGAAGATGCTCGCCTTGAATTTGTCCGCCAAAATTTCAATGATGTGCGCATGGCCATTCTCTGCTGCCAAATGCATAGGTGTTCGATCTGCACCGACGAACACGGGCAGTGGACACAAATACATGCACAGAAACATAACACATAACATAAATATAAATAAAGAAAATATTAAGAAAGTATCATAACAAGATATTCGCTTCACCCACCTTGATTATCCGCAATTGACGCTGAGGCGCGTACGCCATAAAAGTACTTGAGTAAAGCTTCGTCTCCTTCGGCGGCCGCTATATGCAGCGGCGTCTGCCCATCGCCGTTCTGGGTGTCGACATTGGTGCCGTAGTCGACGAGTATTCGCACCATGTCGACATCCCGGCGTCGGGCGGCCAAATGCAGGGCCGTGTCGCCATTTGCTGTTGTTGCCTGTGTGGGGAAGGAGAGGAACAGAGCGGAAAGTTTAAATTTAAGTTAAGGAAGTAAAGAAAATGGAAATGCGTATTCCCCCTAGTGCTGAAAGGAAAACTATCACAAACCCATAGAAAGTATCTGTGTGTAAGTATATATGTACTTATTTTAAGGATTACTCAAATAGGAATCAATAGAATTTTATATGGAAATTTTGAATTTTATTATATATTTTTTAACTGAGATATTAAAATTATTTAGAAAATTTGATTGCCCCAAAAACCCTTGAAAGCAGTTGGCAACTCTTCTAGAGGTTTTCTTCTGTCAGCGGATTTTCTTAAATAAATTTGTTTGAATGCTCCCGTAAAAATATTTAATTTATTTAAAAAAAAACACTTAAAACAGGTGGCAATGTCAGAAATTTACCTTCGGCTCGTACTTTTAAATTCTCTTAGTGAAATATTTAATTAATTGATTTTATTATATTTTCAGCTATAAGTTTTATATTTTGGCAAATATTTATGCTGCATTATGTATTACTTCCTTTCTCTCATATAAATTTATCCCAAAAAATCTCAAAAAGGTGGCAACCTTCTTTTCCTTTGCCTTAAAAAGTTTCACTGAAAATTATGACTTCCTCTGTTCAGTGTCGCAAATATCGCTTTCAGTGGTTTTGATGAAATAATTTTATATGCAAATTGCGTAGCCGCCAGCTCGAAGGTGAAGGTGTCGCTCGAAGGCCTCCAAACATTTAACTCAAAAACTTAATTGATTTTGAATATTTTCATCGTCAGCGCACAATCAATTCAAAGAAAATTCCCGCTTAAAGCATGATTTTGCTCTTCTCGTGTCTAAACTCAAATATCTTTAGTTGCACGTCAAAGAAGGCGCATGAGCTTTTATCTAATAAAAAAAAAAATATTTCGTGCTTCCTTGCCGCACACGAGTAAATTGAATATTGCCTGCCGCAAAATAAGTAAGCAAAAAACTTTCTTTCAAAATTAGTTCACGGTAATTTCTTGCATGAGTAAGTCCATCGCGCGAACTGCCATGACCCACTGCAGCTCAGCACTGCCACTGCACTAGGGCGCGTCGCTGGCAATTTAATCAACGCCACCACGCATTTCCAAAGTGAAAATTTTAATTTGCAACACCAAGCGCTTTTCAAGAAGTTTAAGTGGCTGCCGTCAAAAGGCGCATACTTTCTAGCGCAACGACTTAATAATGTGCCACAGACTGTATATACATACAATATAACTGTATAACTGCATAACTGTATAGCTGCTTAACTGCATGACTGACTTCTAGACCGCGTGCCACTTCTTGTTTGTGGCATGCAACGGCTGGCCGTCAATGTCACTGGCGCTGCGTGTGTTGCATGTTTTTCCATTCGTTTTTGGTGCCCTACACATATTGCAAGTGTTGTTGCAATATATATTTACATAAAAAATGGTATATATGTTTGTTTGTGTGCGGAGTTTGTTCACTTTTTATGTGGCGACATGCGTGGTTTTTGCCCAAAGTTTTTGTGCGTTCTATTGCCGTGAGTGATTTATTTATTAGCCAAACTATAAATCTTTACACAATTTGACAACTCAAGGTGGACATAACCTAATATATTACCTTTTACATGGTGTAAAATAAAAATCAAAACAAAAATGCTAAAGAGGAAGAAAACATTTCATTCAATTGCGTATTTGCATCAAATACCTTCAGTTGTTCCGAGGTTTGAGCTGAGAGCAGCTCTCTGACCATAGACTGATTACCAGACTCGACCGCAAGCAGCAGTGGTATTTTGCCTCGCTGCAAGAAAAAGATTAACATTAGAAATGTGTATACCATATGTTTTTTTTTAATTTAAAGCTTAAAATAACCTGAAATTAAGCCACAAAAGGCTGACTTCACTTGTTCAATAAAATCAGAGATACAAAGAAGTCGAACTTATGAATAAACTGATATTTTCCGTACCAGGATAATTCATCGTCCCATACCCCATAGATTTTTTGGAATTTCTTTTTCATAAATTGAAAACAAATTGATCCACAACCGCCGTATTCGCCTGGCTTGGTGTGACTACTGTCCATTCAATAAGCTCAGAGAAAAAAGCTAAGGTGAGCAAGTTTTGAGTCGATCGGGAAGATTCAACGTGATTAGCTTAAGGAGGTGATGGCCATTCCGGCCGATGAATATAAAAAATTTTGAAAAAACGATTGGCATGTCTGCATCTGCTTCGTTAAGCAAGATTTATAGCCAAAACTTTGAGCCTTGGAGTATAATATAAAGAGAGAGTTTTTTTTAGAGTAAGTCTGTTCATTATGAAGGGCAAAACAAACTGGGTATAATTTAAGCAACAGAGGTCAAAAAGACGCTTTTAGAATACTTCTTCTTCTTAAATTTATTCCAACATAGAATAAGATGATCCAGACACAGCAGCAGGGTTCTTCTGTCATCTCCCCAAAGAAAAAAGTTTCAGCTTCAGCTTCAAACTCAATGACCATAACTCTGGGCAACCAATTTAGAAATCACTTAAATTCCTGATAGATAGCTCAGTTGCAAATAGAGCGATAAAATAAATGTTTCAACACAAAGTCCCTATATGGAGAACGTATAAAGTGGCAATTAATATATCCTTCGATTCTTGGATGGGAAGACTGCATCGAACCTCTCATTGCCTTCAAAATTCGTCTAAATTTGTAGACCCTAAATCAGTGAACGCTAGGGACAACATGGATTGAATATAAACCAAACTACTACCAGAATTAAGAAAAAGAGAGCTTAGTATCTTTGTGAAAAGTTTTCATATATGAAGAGCCAGTGGTTAATCTGTCTCTTGATATTAACGCTTTTTATGAGACCAATACTCTTGTATGCGATGATTAGCATAAATGGTAGTTCAAGACAACGCCAAATGAACCCTTCAATGTGTCTCTATATTAGTTTTATTGGGACTTCGAACTGCAGAGCAAGTCGCTCTTCGCCTAAAAGATAGATCAGTGGAATAATTGCCAATTTCGAGATATATACTGACGAATGGAAAAGTTGGAAGAAGTATCCTCTCAAGAGACCCGCCTTGTCAGCTCTTTTTGCAGCTGCTCGATCAGTGTATTTCAGACTGGAATTGCAGCCATTGTGGAAGCAACAAACTACATTGACGCGGAACTCACGAGCCAGGATATTTTTACGGAAATGTTCAAGCATGGATGGTGGAAAATAAAAAGATGTTTCACATCGACCGAATGATTCGATAACACATACTAGGTTAAACCTGGGAGCAGTGTGTGTATTTTGCAAAGGTACAACCTACTTTTCCAACTAAATAACGCCCAAATGTAGGCAATGATTTTAGATAAAGTCTAAAAAATAAATTTGTTTTTTCTATACTAAATTAAAGTATCTTGTATATATATATTCGTAATATTTGCATAATATTTAAATTTAGGTTACTTTAATAGTTTAGCTGCTTATCTCGGTAGCACCGCTCGTTCTACTTTTGTCATCGATTTTGATACCTCAATCCCCCAACCTTTTTCAATAAATTTACGTCGTATTCCTTGCATTCTTTTATTGCTTTTACCCCCTACTGCTGTTAATTTCTTTGTCGCCTTAAAGTATGCAGTATTCTTACCACGCGTTATCGCCAGTGTCTGCGGAAATGTTGAATGGTGCGTGTTTATGTCATCGTTACTTGGAAACTGTAATAGTTTTTCAAACATTTTCACTTTGTAGGGGAGGCAGACAGACACAGTGTCTGCATATGTGACAGTATAAACAATAGATGCAGTTATGTATGTGTGCCAGCTTTGTTATGAGCGGAAATGTTTATAGCTTTGTATTTATTCATATATGTGCATATGTATATGTTTTGTTGCATTCATGAAGACTTTAACTTTCCAAATTCACCGACGCCAACTTATTGCCACAGACACTTTCATATTCACTTACAACAATAACAATAGGAACAACAGGAACAACAACAAAAGCAAATTTGCGTGCTAAGAAGATATTTGAAGAATGGATAAAGTCGCATGGAGTACACAAAGCAACATTCTTCATATGGTGTTCTGTCTGTATGCACGTATGTGCGCATTCAACATTACTTTCTTGAGCCAAGTTTACTATTAAGTGGATGGGCGTCATCCGAAAGCAAAAAAAATTAACTCACATTTAACTGCGAGTGTAATGGCAGGCAACTTAAAAAAATGTTTCCTTCCAACAGCAAGGAGAAAAATGTTTGCAGTTGCGAAAAAAGCGTTTAGTTGTATTAAAATGGTTACTATTTTTTTATGTAATATAAAAAATGCGATTAATACATTTTTAACAAAATATTTCCACCTTGGACCATAATTTTCGTTTAACACTTATAAATATGTCTTAAAATCTGCCTAAATTTTCATTGTTTACTGCGAAATATTACATAAAAAAAGAGAGTTTTATTAAACCCTTTTTAAATTTTTAAATAGATAGAAAATTTAGCGTATAAGATTTTAAAGGGGATTAATTAAGTTCAAAGAGCGAAAAATGCCCATAAATTTTTATTAATTTTTGCCTTGACTTGAATATTTCTAAGAATTATTTCAATTAAGACTTCTTATTTTTCTTCATCATATCTAAGTCTACATATACCATATTTTTTATATATGTACGAAAACTTGACTGCATTTTTATTGCACAAAACTGTACTTCCGCATTTGCGCTAATTTGTATGCAATGAATTACAGTTGAATTTTAATTTATTGCAATGCCATCGTCGTTTACAAGTTGCCATGCCTTAAATATTGTCGCTGTCTGTGTACTTTTATTTTGGTTTTTAGGTTTTTTGGCTTTTTGTTTTCATATTTTTGGCATTTCATAGGGTTAAGCGCTGCATATTCTAACAGTACATTCATTTCGCTGGATCGTTTGCATTGATTTAGTTGTATATTTCTACATTATTTTCGTTTAGTTGTATTAGCTCCGTCTGCTCTATAAAATGTTTTCCTATATATATATATATAGAATTACATATGTAAATACATATATTTTTATAGTTTTGTATATTTCTTCTCTTTCGATTTCCATTTCTCCCTTTCCCCTGTTCCTATGCTACATATTTTATATTCTCTCTTTCATATTTAGTATTTTGCATTTGTTGTATATTTTTATGGATTATTTTTTGTATTGTTGTTTTTATTATTACCTGTTTATACATAATACATATCTATTGTTTACGTTGGCACAAGATGGCACCGTTTTTAGTTGACGAGAGTCACTTTTCTATATATTTATATATATATATGTATATACATATATTTATATCTGAGTACAATGACAGCAATGACGCTGACGAGGGGTTTGATAATGTTGGAATGCAATGAATGGCAAAATGGCGTGGGTTGAAGGAAAAGAATTTTCTCAATTCCTTGCTATTGGAGAAACGCATTGCCTTATTGCCATCCCTCCATAATTTGTGCTGATTTTACCACTCTTTTTTGGCAACCCCTCCGCCTCCACCAGGCAAAACTCGGTCTTTAATGCAAAGTTAGGTATCTTTTAAATATTCAAATATGCATGACTCTGAATATATATAATTTTTTTTTAAGAAAATTAGCTTTTAAAAATAGTATTTAGAATATTCTTTGTAAAAAAAGCTGCATAGTAATGGATGGCAAAGATATTTTGAGCAAATTCGAAAGACTTCCTAAATCAAAACACATTTAATGATTTAAATCTATAATTTTAAAATTTTCTCAATCTCGAAAAATCTTGCTTATCGTCATACTACTCACCCCGTCAACTTTTAAACGTATTTCCTTGCCGGCGGCTGCTAATAAGGCGCGCAAAATGTTCGTTGCTGTGCCTGTTTGGCGACTCGAGACCAAATGTACGGCTGTTTGAGTGCGGGACTAGAAAGAAAACAAACATTTGCAATAAAATTATTTAATTTTAATTTTTATTGTTGTATTCATTGAATTTTTTCACTTAAAAATTAATTTTCTTAATGATAATACGAAGTAATATTTTTGGTGAGTTCATCGACCAAAATTTGCTATAAATTAATTTAGGCAAGAGGCATAGTTTTAGGCGTTGATATTAAATTTCACATTTAAAAATAAAAATCAAGAAAATTAGTTCTTATCAGCTTACTGCTAAGAGTTGATTATCACAAATACACACTCTTTGAGGAAACTCTTTCAGAATGTTGCAACCACTTCACTTGACAGTCTGTAAAGCAACTATTTCTAAATTTGAAATTCTACACTCGGCTGGTGGCAACAAATTCAAGTGCCGCCGAATTTCAGTTGCAAATCTTCGATTATTGGTGTGAAAATTAAGCAGAAAAACAATGAAAAGTGTGACGGGTGGGGAGAAACGGAAATCGCTGTAAAACAATGCAAAATAAAACTTAGACATGTCATTCATTGAATTTACTGCAATAAAGTACGGTGAGTACAGTGAGGCCGCGCTAAACGGAACCCAAAAAGTATATATATTTTTTAATATATTCACATTAAAAAAATAATATCAACAATACGATTTGTGGACTTATTTAAAATAATCCTAAATTTTTGAAGTCTATACATTTTGATATAACATTCAATTTTTCCGCAAATGCCCAAAAAAAATGAAGGCTTTTAAATCCTTCTATCTAAAGACACGAGTTTGGCATTATTTGCCACAGAATTTCATAAATTTTACCAAAATTAATATAAAAAGTAAAATTTTGATTTTTTTTTGTAATCATAAAAAAGGTTTTAATACTCTAGGCCCCACTGTAACAGTCCCCAAGGTTTCAAACTCTTGCAAAATTCCTCACCAACACTTAGAAAGTGTTTTTTAAAACTCGAAAAATGTATTTGTATGCGATTTCTGCAAGCCCGAATGGAATAAAGTTTGTTCAAATTAGTGGTTATTTAAGTGCAATTATTTTAGCGCAAAAGTTAAACTTCTTAAACGTTTCGGTTGAAAACTCAACTTAAATGAATATGTAAAGTTTTCTAAAAATATTTTAATTTTAGATAGTTTAAAAACCTTGGTTATTTAATAATTGCTATGCTTAAAAAGGACACAAAAAATAAATTCTTGCACAAGGCAGGAAATATCTAAAAAAAAAATTTGCTGAGCCCGTTAATAGTGAGGGAGATTTAAATTTTATCTCTTCAGCTGGGAAAATTGTCGAAATCTTTTTTTCTAAAAATACTTTGTTTTGCTGAAATAAATGAGTTTCCGTTTCAATTCCTCTTCGGTTATGCCCAAGTAATGCTGTCGTGGTTGAGCAAGTTAAAACGTGCCTTCATATATTTTTGAATGACATATTACCGATATTTGATACACTCAACCGATATATATCTACATACATAAGCATATATAAGTAAATACAAGCATTTCTGCAACAACTATAAATTATATGAATTTACGTTAAGTACATATCTTTTGAAGCAACAGACAATGCATTATTTTTACAAAATTTATATACTAATACCAAAAGTGAATGTATGTATAGGAATTACATTAGATGCCTCAAACAGCAAAACGATGGTGGTTGCCCACAAAATTTTTGCTTAGTTACTGAAATTTTGTTTATTTCCATATCATTTTAGGCTGTATCTGTAATGCAATGAATATAGTATTGGTGGGCGTGAAAAATATTTGTAGGTAAGCTAATGTATGTAACTTGAAATTTAAGTTTACTGTACGAATATATGTATCTAAGTAACAGCGAAAAAAAAAAGAAATTTACCAAAAAAAAATACCAATTAGGATAACGATCGCTGATAATATAATTAAACTTTATTTTAGTTAATTTGAACTAGTTAAATTAACTCAAATTATTTTATAAAAGTATTAATTTATTTAATTTAATTTAATTTATTTTAGTTTAATTTTCTTTTAATTCAATTTATTTTATTTTATTGTATTTAATTTAACTTAATTTAATTTAAATTAAATTAGTTTAGTTTACTTTTTTAAATTCATTTTATTATATTTTATTTCATTTTGTTTTATTTTATTTTATTTTATTTTATTTTATTTTATTTTATTTTATTTTATTTTTTTTTATTTAATTTATTTTATTTTATTTTATTTTATTTTATTTTATTTTATTTCATTTTATTTTATTTTATTTTATTTTATTTTATTTCATTTTATTTTATTTTATTATATTTTATTTTATTTTATTTTATTTTATTTATAAATCTTTTTTTCATGTTTATTAATATCAGTTTATTTAATATTAGTTCATGTACAATATTTATATTTTTTAATCCTCCTTTCTTTGTGAAATCTTCGCGTTCAATCAACGAGTCAATTACATCAATTGAGTATACAAAATTGTTTCTTAGAACTCGCCTTGCGTAAAAACTTTGCCAATATTCAGGTAATCACAATTGGGTGACCTTGGGTATTTGGCTGGCAGCATTTAATTAGTTAGCAGTTCAGTTGCACCTTGCATTGGCGGTCAAGTAAGTGAAAGTTGCACGCCACATGTGAATTAGAAGAAGTTTATGACTTTAGGAGAAAAAAGTTTAAGAAAGTTTTTTGTTGTTGGTCTCAACACCAACTTTCAACCGTAGCAGACTCTGCAATGTGGCATGTGCAACAATGCAATTTGACCTTTAGGGTTTTGAACATGCAGGAATTTCCACTCTACATAAATGTTTATGTTCGTTTAGTGTGATGAAGTTTTTGTTATATTACATTTATATTTTCTAAAGCAAATATTTTTCTAAGCGCATTTAAACTAGAGCTGCACTCACTTGCAACACGCGATTGCCACCGCTTTTCCATTAGAAAATAATAAAAATTGCTTTTGACCAATATTAAATGCACCTACTGATTTTTACACACACACAAGTATATATGTAGATATAGTAGTTTGCTTTTTTTATATATTTGGAGCACTTACGCCGCCCGTTGAGTATGGATCCACGCCACGTTTATTTAGCAACAGCTTGACGACATCCTCTCGCGAATACATTGAAGCTATGTGCAAGGCATTGTAATTATCCTGCAATCAAAAGGGAAAAAGTGTTATTAAGTGTGAAAGTAAATGCAGTGACATTCCTAAGATCTAATAAGTGAAAAAATCGATTCAGTTATTCATTAAATAATTGAAAAAAAGAGCTATAAAATTTTGCTTTTACCACGTCCTAAATATCAAAAATCCTTACACCTCAAATTGTTTTCTCACTGCCCAGCCATAACTCAACACACCCACATACGGTAGGTAGTTGTAAATAATATTAACCACTTAGTGGTTTAATCATTTCTTGTCCAATCGTTTTGGCTATCTTAGTGGGCGTATTAAGAAAGCACACACACACACACACCCACACACCTTCTAACTTAACTTACCGTTTAGTATTTGGGCATGCAATTTGTGCATAAAATTTGACCCTGACTTTCCTCTGTCTGCTTTCTCTCCCCTTTTTGCACCAATTTATTTACTACCGGATATTTAGTGTTGCACTTTTCCAACAAAACGAAAAAAATATTGAATTTTCCGAAATGTGCAATGTTTTGGTAATCGAAATCGTAAATAATATTCCCACTTGCCAGCTCTGACAAATGAATGACATATTTTCTCTTACAATTTTCAATACAATTACTTCTTTCAAGTTAACAAAAATTAGTGCAAATTAGAGAAAACGACAAAAGCCTGGCGAAAACATTTTTTTAACATTACTTTAACATTACTGGTTGATTCAAGATTTCTAGAGATTTAGTTCAAATTTTTTAAATGAGATAATTTTTTTTTTTAAATATGTCTTAATATTGCAATGCCTTTTGATAAAGGACTAACTCGAGAAGAGAAGAATTTTCAGCAAATTGGTTAATTTCCCGAAAAAAGTCTACTTTTGTAAAAACCTTCTTCCATCAGATACGAATAATTAAAAAAAAATTAGCTAAATCAGTTCAGTCGTTCTCGATTCAGTAAAAACTATACATATTTACAATTTTGCCATAAACTTGTACATAAGTATGTAGATGAAGGTGCCCTTGAGCGGGAGCGTTGTTTAGGGCGCATTGAAGTTGCTCGAATTAACTTAAATTTATCCAAAGAACCCTCAAGCTAAAGCTTAAGTCAACTTATGATGCCATCAATCGGTTATGGAATGGACCAAGCAAACTTTTGTCTATGTTCCGTGGCCACTTCCGAAGCAAAATTATAAATGTATATACATATAAAATATACATAATTAGTTGAAATTGAGATACAATTTTTTCATAATATTTCAGTAATTAATGTAGTTTCCCAATTCGTTTGTTTCGAAATTTTTAACTTTTTTATATTTATATTTTTTAGTTGAATTTTAAAATTATAATTTGTCGCATATCTCTTACAATTTTCTTGGCAATGATTAATATATGTATGCATCAAATTTTATATCTGAGGTGACTGCACCTTTCTAAACCCCCTTAAAGTGCAATACTTATATATATATACATACATGCACAGCCACTGCATAAAATTAACATACCGACTACCCAAAGCACCAATCCCTATGTACACACGCCTATAAGTAGGCCAAAATTTGCCGTTGCCGTTGTTAGGAGAATAGAAATGTTGGAAAATTTAGCGTTTCCGATTACTTTGCAACGCAATATCAACTATCTATGTATTTGTAAATATGTCTAAAAACAGACATACACACAAGTACGCTCTGTCTTTGAGGTATTTTCGTACAAACGTGAATACATACAAATATGAATACATACATATAACATTTTTAGTTATACCAAAAACTTAGGTTCGAAGGCAATTCATGTGCATAAACATACACACATATAAGAGATAGATAAATGCGTACATTTTAGTAGTTTTGCATAAACAACGGCAATCTAACAGAATGTCATAAGTGAAATACAATCCGTTTGATTTGAAAAACGTTTGAAATGCTTTTACTACTCCTATTTCAAGGTATGAGAATTTCCGCTCAAAGATCTACCAAAAATAGCAGACAAAGTTTCAATAAATTCAAAGAATTCTATGTAGTGGAAGGAAAGAGGAAAAATTTAATTTTTATCGAAAACTTTTCTGCAGTGACCAGAGTCATTCGGAGATTTAGTGTAAGCCAATTTTTTTTAAATTAAAATGATTAAAACAAAAACTTGTCCCTCGTGAAAGGATCAATTATTTGCTTTATGTTCAACATAGTGTAAAAACTCCTCATAAAAAACCATAAGCCAATTGGAGGCCACTAAAAAAATATCGTAAGTTTCTCCATTTGTTGGTAAAACGTCAAGATGTACAGCGAAAAATGAATAAGGAGCGCAGCCAAAGCTGTTTCACCGCCTCACTCTAATCGGTCGCAAATGCCTTCAATTGAAGCTGTAATCGCTAAACTGTTGGTGTCTCACTAATCAATTGTACTAGGTTTAAATGAATGTTTGAGCTTGAGGAACGCTTGCCAAAATAACTGATTTTTCATTAAAAACTATCGCGTAAAAGCCACTGAAGATATGCTGCACAGAGTCCCAACCCAACCACATTTTCATAAAACGCATTGCCACTGGGTTCACGAGTTTGATTAATAAAGAAATCAACAAGCTTCGGCAGCTACCAACTGAGCCGAAGGCGTAAATATCCCTTCAAAGTCAAAGGAGTGTTAACTATTACCTTTGATTACCGCAGTGTTGTGTACTCGGAATTCTTTTCAGAATAATATAAATAATAAAATGTTATCTGAGTGTTATGTGTGCTTTAAAAGAGCAAATTCGTAATAACAAGCCATAATATACCATCGAACGATCACTGCATTTAACTGGCATGACTTTGACCGCCTTTTCGTATCTATTCAAAACGCAAATTGACACGTCGAGACCTCCGATTCAAGTCGATAGATGGCGTACAAGATAACTCGCAAGAGACCTGAGAATCCAGAAAATGTGCTAAAATTATTGAATTTTTCGCTGAAGTATTTTTTCGGTTCGTACTAAAGCCCAACGTCAATGAATTCACTAATGTCCAATCAGTATGGCTTCAGAGTTCGGACAAATCTCAAATTCATTAGAAATTCCCCAAAACGTGAGAAAACCATCGCTACACATTTCACTTATACGCCGATTTACAATCTGCCTTCGATAGCAGACTGCATTGAGTATCCACTGGTGAAATCAGAATAAGAATAATATCTCTACTCCGCTGGAAGGATCAGGAGGAGAAGTACCTGGTTGCTTTTGCTATTTTAGGCTGGCGGGCAAAGGCAAAAATAAGAAACGACTGACGTTGTTATTAACTCGGCTATAATCGCGGAAGCGGTATCAACGGCAGTAAGGATGAAGATTATAAGAAATTAAAATTGAAATTGAATTGCCAAAATGGAATACTTTGGTTTCGTAAAAATGAACTGGAGATCCGGAACCTGATTCGATTTGCTCGAAAAAATACTTCTTTCAATCCTTTTTATTACGGAGAGATTGAGAAAAATTACCACGAATTGGATAGAAACGTGGATCGTGCTTAGGTGTTGTCGTCTCGCATTTTTACCTCGGTTGCGGGTCACTAATCTTAACGCTCAACATGTGTGTGAATAGGCCTAGATACGAATGGTGCATTTGACTTACTTCCAGGCAAACATATCAACATTATCGTGAAAGAATTTGAGCAACAAAGAAGTTAAATCCAAAGAAGATCTTAAATTTTGACTCAGGCAATGCCTTCCTTTGGTGGTTATGGCGATATATCAGTGGGTAAGTTGTTCTAGTTTCTCATAGGCGGTAGATAGTAGATATATAAATTAATAAATAGAGTCCATTATCGTAGATAATAAGCTCGTTAGTCCTACTTCGTACACAAAGCGTATGACTCATTGGTTAAAAGTGTTGAGTCAGCGAAAATTAATTAGAGGCTACACCAAAAGCACTTTTCTTGCATTTCAACACCTACCAACCCATTCGCTTCCACCTCAACATCGCAATTCTATGTAATTTAGGCAAGATTTTAATTAAAAGTACATTATGTGGCTTGCAAACTACACGAGGTGTGACTTAAGATAATTACATTAATGGCAAGAAAAAGCCACAAATGACCGACATAAATGCGCGATGACATCTTGGCAAATGACATTTCGCATTTTCTTACTCGCCTTGCAACTACGTGTATCAACTGGCCAAAGATCGTATCGAAAAAGTGTGTGGCAGTGTGCACGCACCCTAAGGTGTACCGCTTTGACAAATAGTTATTTCCAAAAATTGAAGTCAACACTAAGTTTGGCGATGAATGAGTCGCTCCGCAATTGGCGTGCACTGCATTGGCCAACTAAAATTAATTTAAGTGCTTTTAGTACAAGAAAAATCCCACAAAAACAAAAAAGTAACAGAAAAGCGTTACCACAAAAATTCAAAGTTGACTCCAACATGTGTGCGGTTCCGGCCTTATTGGTTGCGGTGGGGGTCGCAGGACAAATGTTATTGTAATGATATGAAACTACTTAGCTTCCGGTTGCTGCAAAGTAAAACAACTGCCTACTTACTTTCAACTTGCACACATACATTTGTATATACACACTACACATAGTCAGTGTTTAATCGTGTGTGTGAGTCCTACACTTGTATGTGTCTTGGTGCTTTTCTGGTCAGCTATAATTAAAAATTCATATTAATGGTAAACGCCAAAGTCAATGTTGCGGAAATTCATATGTAGAAACACACTAACACACCCATAAATTCAGCATGAGTTTTCATTATTTCGCACCCCTTCCTCTTCCACGTTTCCCTTGAGGAGTGTGACTTGAAGGCGCTGTAGGTGTTGGCATTTGATAACAAAGCGTGTACTTTTCATATATTCTGGAGTGAGAAAGCCAATATCGCGTAAAAGGGTGAATAAAAAAATTTCATTGCCGAATTGCGAAGGTTCTGCACACATAATGACTGGTTGATTAATGAAGATTTTAATGTAAGTAAGAACGTTACTTTAGAGTAGAATGATAAATACCACTTAACCACCTGATTCTGCTGACGTTCACAAAACATTTTTATTTAGCCACCAATAAAAAGGAAAAAGAGTTGATGATGTAATTTACGGTACTGCACAACCGCTGAAATAATGATTTGATCGAGGGAGAGGGGATTGATTTTCCAGAGAGATGTTTCAAAAGAAGTCCCTTTCGACAGACAAGACTTAGAGTGATGTATTTTGTACTTTTTTTTTATTAAAAAAAACATTTTTATGAGCAAAAAAAATTAACCAATTTGATTTATGCGCAAAATAATGTCTATTTTTCATTTTAATTTATTTTATTTGTTTTTATTTTATTTTATATTAGAGTATTCCATTTTTTATATTATATATATATATATAATTGGCGCTTTGTAAAGGCGAAGCGATCTACAGTTTATACTAAGCCGCCTCCGAACGGCTGACGGTTTTTTATGAGTTGCTTTTTTATTTTGTGTTAGGGTCGCTTAGAGGGTTTGACATTCCTCTGTCGAGGGGCGACCGAGATTAGAAAATTTTGCTTAATTTATTATTTAAAAAAATTTTTTGGTCTAATTAAAAGCAGTCACTTTTTGCATTATTTATCCGATTTATCTCACATATGCTCCATTTTCTTAATAACTTTATGCCATTTTGAAGGTAAAGTCTATGTTTTTCTCATAAAAACCCTATTTACTATTTACGAAAAATTGGGAGAATCGATTTTCACAGACTTTTCTTCAGGCTTTTCAACCAAATCCTTCACCACAGACAGAAACATACGGTAATCATTAAGTGCCAAGCCTGGACTATAAAGTGAGTGAATAGGAACTCCCAACCAAGCTCTCGGAACTTCTGGCGAGTCCCAAATGATGTGTGTGATCTGGCGTTGTGCTGATGAATAGAATTTCCCTTCTGTTGGCAAAAGTTGAACGCTTTTGGGCGATTGCTACCTTCACACGCTCCATTTACTGGCAGTGCAGATTGGAGGACTACCATTATTTTTTCGACATTTTCGATAATTGACCTTCCATACCGAGGACCATTTTTTATTTAAAAATTACAGGAACGAAACCTACGTGACCAAAATTGTGCAAGATTGACTGCTAGAGTATTCCTATTACCATCTGTCTGGCGAGCGTTTTCGCTTTACTGTAACAAGCGCTCAAACACTACTTAGTTAAGGGATCATTACTTCCCTTATTATCTTTTCTATGGCAAAATATCCTATTTCCAACGCCATCTAGCTCAATTCACCTATTGAATCATCCACAAATCCATGTATTGAAAAAAAATGGACTACTTTTTTCTGGAATGGCTCATTGCATGACTTTAATAAATCAGTTTTTATATTAATTTACTTTTATTTAATTTTTCAATATTATAATATTATATTTTTATATTCGTATATTTTATTTTTAAATTTTGGAATTTAATGTAACAATTCTTGATTTATTTCTTATTTTACTTTTTTTTACTTTATTTTTTATTTTATTTTATCTTATTTCATTTTCGAGTTTTATATTTTTTAATATTTAAATTACTTTATTTTTATAATTTTTTATATTTAATACCATTTATTATTATTTTTTTGTTATTGTTTGCTTTGTTTTATTTTATTTGGTTTAACGAAATTTAATTATTTTATTTATATTTGTGTCTTATGATTTTCCAATAATTATTCCTTGTAAGCAACTTAGCGAAAATTCATAAAATTTTCCCTGTTTATAACTGTGAATGTGTATGTAACGCACTGCTTGTGTTGGTCAGCTGTAAAATCGTGTGTACTGACGAGTGACGTTCGTGTTTAAAGTTCCTTATTTACCTAAAGGTAACGGCACTTGTGTAACCGGCCGTTGTCCGTCTTTTTGGTTCATAACCTCAACTGTTTTGGTGCTTACTTTTTCTTACTTTCGGCAATTTCCTATTTGCTTTGCTGCTTTTTGTGCTAAATCTAGGTCAAGGATTTTTTTATTTTTTCTTATGCCACGGGATATAAAGCAAAGTCTATTATTCCAGCTTTGTGTTTGGCAAATGAAGTTTATATTTTGTTTTTCAGCAGATTGAAAATTGACTAGAAGTTTTATTCTTTTGATGTTTTAAGCATTTAACTTGAAAAAAAACCCGCAAAGCCGCAATTAAATTTATATATTTTTTAAAAATTATATTATTTTTCTCAGTGGATTTGACTTGAACAATTAAGTTTGATATTTGATACTCCTTGTTGCATTTTCTCTAAGAAAATATTTAACCAACCCCACAAGCATCCGGGTCATCTTGATAGCAAAGGAATATGAGAAGCACACAATTGCAATCACATTTATTAGTTTTGGAGTGAGCTTGCAAGTGGTTGCTGGCTTTCTATATGTATGGCGCGCTGGATATTAAATTGCAAAATTCAAAATGAAACATTATTAAATCGCATTATGCGTGTATGCCAAATTTGCAGTTAACTGTTCTGCCGGTCGGGCGGCACATCAAGCGACACCACCCAATGACCACCAATGAAGGAGAACACCTTGAGTGTGCTGATTCTCGGCTCTCCCAATTGTTACTCATTATGACGTTATGTTACGTGTACTAAATATTTATGTTCGAGTATATATGTGTGTCTAGTAATATACACATAAATATGTGTTTGCGGTTTCTTGAACTACTTGCTCTCCGGTGTCGAAAAAAGAAAACTGCCGCGTTTTCTATTGTACTTATGTATGTATACATGTATGCATGTATGTCAAAGGGCGTGCGGGGGACGAGTGTGCTGAGCCGGAAACTTTGTGTACGACGACCGCATTTAGCATTTAGTACGCCAATTTAATTTATGCGTCTTGGCATGAGCTTTAAGATTTATATATTCTACAAATATATGCGACTGCTATCGATTTGACACAATTTCACCTTTCGCTCGAGTTTTTTTTATTGTTTTATGTTCTTATGTATATGTTTTTTTTTGGTTTTATTTTTTTTTTTTTTTTGCATTTTTGAACTATTTTGATTTTTTGTGTTTTCTGTTATTTTATTTTATTTTTTTTGTATTTTTTTTTTCTTTGCTTAATATTTACTTTTTTACTACTTACATTGATATTATTATGAGCTATTATTGCTTCTAATTATACCTTTCGTGCTGATGAAATGGTCTATTAACTTTGGTCCGCAGTATATAAATAAATACCAAGAGGAGAAGAAATAGACCGCACAAAGCTTACACCGACATCACCAGAAAGACGAGCAGAGTTCATCCATCTGTCTGTCTCGTCTGTTTACCCGCAAGCTGGTATACGCACGTATTTTTGTAATGTACTTATCAGTTGTTGGGTCCCCATTCAACCTGATATGATTGGATAATTCAGTTATGTGATTTTGGGCCATAAATACTTCAATAAAGCATCTAAGGCATGGACCTTGGCATTCTATTCTCATATAATGACGTTAAAACTGGTGCACATAGTCCCTATATAACCGATTTGTTTAGAGAAGAGGTTTTGGGTTGAAAAAAAAATCCATGAAAATAGCCTCAAAGGTGCAAAATTTGACATTTTTGCATTAACTCGAATATATATTGGCACCGAAAATTATGGAAATCCAAAGACTACATCTTAGAGGCTGTTTAAAACGGTTATTTGAGATACATCGAGCACCTACAACAAATTTAATATGCTGATGAAAGGTATAAAGGCCTCGGCATGGCCGAAGACAGCACCTCCTTTTTGTTTTTTTTTTGCATTTTTTTTTAACTGTGCATTAATGACGCTGATTAAAACTACATTATGCAGTAAATTTTCGAAAGTGAATATACATTTTTACTTACATTATTCCTGGCTCCCACATCGGCACCCAACTCAATCATACGATCCATAATTGAGGTTTTATTATCCTTTGTGGCATACATAAGCGGTGTCATGCCGGTGTTCTGAAATAGAAACAAATAAAAATTCAAAAATGGAGAAAATACCAATTTATATTTAAATATTTCACAGCTTCAGGAAAAACTTTGAAGGAATTTTATAACAAGTTTTGGAATCGTGTATTGCTGAATTGCTTTACAGAAAGTCTCAGTTGACCTTCAAGAAAAAAAAAATCTTTTGATAAAGGGTAATTTTTTAAGAGCTATAGGAAAGTTTTTCGAAAAGAAACAGATAAGATTCAGAAAAATGCATGAACTATTTATTTAAATCTTTAATACGGTCCATATAATTTAGTGTTTGAAGTTTATTTCATGTAAATGTTGACCGTGGCTGCGCCTCAAATGGTTCATCCGCTTAGTCTAATTTTGGCATACTCTTTCCAACATTTCGGTCGATATCTCACGAATAAATGCTTCAATGTTGCCCTCCAATACGTAAATTGAAGCGGGCTTGTCTGTGTAGAAATTAGATCTAGCACAGCCCCACAAAATATTGCCTGAAGTTGTTAAGTCGCACGATCTAGGCGGCAAATTTACCGGTCCCAAACGTGTAATAAATTGTTCACCGAACTCGCCATTAAGTCCATTGCTACACGTGCTGTGTGGCATGTGGCATCATCCTGTTGAAACCACCTGTCATGCAAGTCAAGCTCGTGCATTTTGGAAAAAGAAAAGTTTGATATCATCCCACGGCAGTGCTCACCTTTCACAGCTACATTACGATTCGCATCATCTTTGAAGAAGTACGGTCCAATGACCAAACGGTCCAAACCACACCAAAATGTGACTTTATCTGGATGCATTGACAGCTCTTGCAGTGCTTCTGACTGATCTTCACTCCGATATCGACAATTCGGGATATTTACGCACCCATTAAGCCAAAAAATGATCTTCGTCGCTGAAAACACTTTATATTTTTTTTTTTACTTTTACTTTACTTTCTTAACAGAGCAGGAATTTCGATAATAAAATTCAATAATTTGGAAGCGTTTTTCGTTTTGAGACGATTAATGCTTAAATATAGACCAAAATGATGATTTTATTCAAAACATGAAACGTGCGACAGCTGTTTAACTCAGTGTTGCCAAAAAGATAATAACTAAAAAGTCACCCTTTACTAATAAAAAATATAAGTTACAGTCTTCATTTTAGGCTTCTTCTGCTTCCATGTAATATGAAATAAAATTTGAAATGATGTTTGAGACCGGCTGTATGCATCGGTTCCACAGAGTGAAACCAGCCGCCTAAGGCTTATTAATGGTAAGAAGTAAGTTTGAGATTTTAAGTTAGATCGATGGAGCGTCACGATGTTTTTATAAATTCTCGTTTTCCATGGGACATATCTGTATGCATACAATTAATATTAAAGAATTGTTAAACTTGAAACAGCGGAACCCAGAGCAACAGAGTTTATTTAATGCGGGAAAAAAATCCTCAGTCTCTTTCAAAAATAAGCAAGCAAAAAACCGCCCTTCTAACGGATTATTGCGTTGCCGTGATATAAAGCTATTTGCAACCTTTCCCTGTTTTATGCTCGAATATTACCAACGACGACTTGTTAGCGACAATACCATAGAACAGACAGATAAACAAATAATTTTTATCACCACACAACCCTTTTCCAATAAATTTATTGATATTTTATACGGAAATATGTCGGCGACGACAGGAGTTATTACGCCAAAATATGTTAAACTGATACGAATTCCTATTTTTATGGGCTAAACAAAGTTATTGTTGTTGTTATTACAATCAAAGAAAGCCCATAAACGCTTGCAGCACACAACAAACGCGCAGAGCGGGACATAAGAGAAATAAACAAAATTGAGTCTCCTAACCGAGCTTAAGGCGACCTGTCAACAAAGCAATGTGTTTTTATGGCAACGCAAGCAAAAAAATCATACAAGAAAATTTAAGCATTTTTTTACTACTCACCGGATCGTGTACGCCCGCTAACGGAATGTGGTTGCCATCCTCCCCCGCGTTTGCCACATACTTCTCCAGCTTCTTCAACTCCTGTTCGATGGGCGTCCATTCGCTTTTCATCGCCAGGGCGAGTATCTTATTCGAGGTGTCGCGTATGGAGGCACCAGCGCTCGGTGGCTTCGGCGTGGGAAACCCTTCCGTCTCCTTCTTATCGCCATTACTCGAGCTGTCGTCCTTCTGATCTGAATCCGCCTTACTCGCTGGTGTGGCGCGTTCGCTGGTCGTAGCCGACTCGTCGGGGGTATTGCCACCAACTGCACCGGCAACACTGGAGGGGGTCCTTCGTCCTATGCCACCGCCAGCGCCGCCACGCCCACCACGTTTGGCCGGCTGGGACATTGCGTCTATTTTTCTTCAACAAAGTTAATATCAACGCCTGATAACACTACATTTTGTTGCACATTCTCAGCACCAACACTTGGGCAAACAAAAAATGATTTTATTGTAAGTATGTGTGTGTGTGTATGTATGTGTATTGGTTAAATGCGAGACCTTCTGAGCGGCAGCATTTGAACTGACTTTGATGCGATTACACAACGAATTTTCCAACAATTTTCTCGCTTTTATCAAAATTTACGTGAAAAGCTTTTTGTGTTGTTTTTTTTACTGGAAAACGCGTATTTTGGGATTACATTTGTTTTGAAAATTGTTTTATTGAAAACGTGACATAACTGCAGAATTCAATGTCGGTTGTTGCAACTCAAATAATTTTTTATTTTCCTTTTATTTCAATTTTCCACACATAAAAAACTCGAGCAAAGCTGAAATTATTTCGAAAACGCTTTTAAAGTTAAATAACGGCACTCACTATTTTTTTCACTCGACTTCGACACTAAATATGAAGCCTTGATATGTATTTTCACTATATATAGGTATGTGTATATATTTTATGACCTTATTGCATCACTACAAACACAAACCAACTATATCTGTATGTATGTATGTTGTATTTGCAAAGGTCTTCACGCGATTTAAGTTTTGAAAAACCAACCGTTTGCGACGAGCGACTGCGACTTTCTGATTTTTCACGCTCAATCCGGTTTCGAGTAAACCTCTGCCAACTTGCGACTTTCCAGCCTTTAAGCCATGTGACCGGAAGCCACCTTAGCAACATGACGAATACTTGCGCAGTGCCGGAGGACGCCATGGAAGTGTTGATGGTTTGCTTTCTTTCGTTTGTGCTTCGAGTGGTTTCAACTTGTTTGATTTCTCAAACGCCAGGACGCCGAATTGCTTAACTCAAGCTCTTCAAGTCTCGTGCGGCTTTTTTGTTTACATTTGTTGATTGTTTATGTATAATTATGTCTTCGAGTATGTTGACGAACAAAGGGCAGAGCAAAAGTTTGAAAATGAAGCGTGTTTTGGAAGCACACACACACCTGCCTGGCCATAAGAACGGCGAAAAAAGTTTTTTTCTTTGAAATTTTGAACACTTATTTTTCAATTTCGTTAAATTATTGGAGATATTTTTGAAAATTGCAATTGACTTATTCTGGTGGTCGCGTAATCGGATTGTGGTAGTATGTACTACGAGTTAGTGGGTCATGGGTTGAAGCTCTGTGAATATATTTCTGTATGCGGAAACGACACCGTAAATCTTGCTACTGACATATTTTTGTAAATTCGCTTCAAACGTTTCTAAACTGTTGGTCTCTAAAATTGTGAGGGACTCCAGAAACCCTAATTTTTACACTTGAACAAAAATCTATTCAAAAACTAGAGCGATTTTTCTGAAATACTTTTCACAGTTTTAAAAAATTTTCTTATTTAAGAATTATTAAAAATTTTTCAAATTACAACTGACTTTTGAAAATCTTTTGGGTTTTTAGTCACCTAGACGATGGTCGGGCCATGTGGGGAGAGTTTTGACTGCCATTCACCTGACAGCTCACAACTTCCGGCTTTTTTATTCATTATGATTATTTAATATATATATACATACATATTAAATTATAATAAACTTGAAACACCATCTACCTGGGTTCTATATATGTTTAAGATATTTTATGAAAGTCATAGAAATCTTTTTAAAATATATTTAAATGCTTTTTGCCAACCTATTTTGTTTGGTATGTGATAGAAAATGATAAATCAAAGGAAAATGTTGTTAACATATACTTTTTCTTAGCAACCGGTCGATTATTACGAAAAGCATTTGTACCTTTCAAATTCAATATGTATGTACAATCAGCGTCAAAAGAAAGTGAACACCTTTTTCTCCTGCACCTCACTCTTTATTTCGGTGTAAAAAATTCGAATTTTTAAAATCAATTATCATTTAAATGATTAAATATTGTTTTTATAGGAAAATAACACAGAATCCAAAGAAAGCTTTACAAGAGCAAAAGCAACCCAAACGAAATCATTCCATATTACCGATATGCCGATAGGATATTATTTGCATTTGAAAATCAGGGAACAGCATCAATTTCACAATGGCTAAGAAAACCTCACCTGAAATAGAAGATAGACCATGTTCGGGTAGACAAAAACGGATTAATAATACTGAAATAAGGTCAGTTGTGAGAGCTGCAAAGATAGATCCAACACTGTGTGCCGTTAAATTGGAAAAAATGTTCTGAACATCCGCACTGAATGTTAGTGCCAGCAAGATCAGACGAGCAGTGCATTCTAATGCTCTGTATGGTCGGGTACCGAGGAAAAAACATCACATCTCTACGCAGAACCAAAAGCAGCAAGAGGAATTTGCAGAAAAATATAAAACTAAGGACAAATCGTTTTGGAATATTGGATTTTTCTCTGGTGAAAGCAAGCTCGAAGTTTTCGGGAAGAAAAACATACTTAAGTTTGGCGAAACAAAAATCAAGATTTCGAACAAAAAAACATTATATCCACAGTAAGGCACGGTGGGGATCGGTGATGGCTTGGGGATGCATGGCGGCAAGAGGAGTGGAAAGCATAGTGTTTATTGATAGCACAATGAACAAAATTGATTACCTAAACATTTTAAAAGAAAATTTGCTTCCCAGCGTTTAGAAATTTGGCTTAGATCAATCCTGGGTATTTCAATAGGACAACGATCCTAAGCATACGGCAAGAATGGTAAAGCTCTGGTTGCTCTACCGTACACCTAAACAACTGGATCACCCCCATAATCACCGGACCTCACACCCATTGAGCATATGTGGGAGCATTTGGCAAGGTCAAATAAAGAAAAGAAAAAAGAAAAATAACCAGCAAGAGTACACTAAAAGAAGTTTAACTGGAGGAGTATACTAAAATTTAGCCGGAAGTAGTGTCCAACTTAGTGAAATCATTTATTTGGTTTTGTATGTGTTGTTTTTGTTCTTGTAAAGTTTTCTTTTGATTGTTGTTAGTTTTTTGGAACAATATTTATTCATTTGTAAATAAAATTCAATTTTTTTATACCAAAATAAAGAGGGAAATTTATGAGAAAAAGGTGTACGCTTTCTTTTGGCGTTGACTGTATATCTGCATGAATATATGTAAATTGGTCATAGCTATGTAAATAAATAAATAAATTATATTTTCAATATCCTTAACTGAACGCTTACATATTTTACGATGAACCCAACCAACTGAGATAGTCGATTGACCGTTTAATCCAACAGAGTGGCGGCCGAAACCAACTGAAACAGGCTGAACTGTGTGTTGAGGCCGAGGAACGATCACGAAAGGTAGATCCTTGGATAACATTAGGTGTTGGGTAATTGCTTCCAACTATTTGAGTTTTTGCTTTTTAGCATTTTTTTCGGCAAATTGTTTTGTTTCCCAGTTTGGTTCATCATGAATTAAATCCAACGGGACAGACAGTAAATAAAGAGTATTATTTGAGCGTATCGAGACGTTTACGCGAAAACATCCGTCGTAAACGCCGAAATCGAGGGCCAACAATATCCGGAAACTTTCATGACAATAATGCGCTATAGCACAGAGCTGTAGTTGTGCACGATTTTAAGAGCAAAAACTCCTTGAATATCAACAATCACCGTATTCACCGGATTTGGCCCCATGCGACTCTTATTGCTTCGAAAACTCAAGTTCCCATCCCGTGGAACCCTTATCGGCTCGACTAAAGGCCGAAAATGAACAATCGCAGAGGGAACTGCAGTCGACTGATTTCAACAGCTGCTGCAAACAAACTTGGACAGATCGTGCTCATTTTTGCATAATAACAAAGAAAAAAGTGCTGAAAAATATTTAGCGCGGAAAATTTAAATAACAAATACTTTCTGGTCTTAATGTTTATGCAAGAATGCAATTCCAAAATGATCAGCGAAATGAAACGGCTAAATTGCTAAATAGCAAGCAATGGAGTTTTCCATCTTAAGGGCCAGATCAGATATCTGACTGTCTGATCTGTTTGTCTTCCCATAAACTTTTCGCAAAACATTTGAACATTAGATGTTCTCATTGCCCTGGCACCAAACAGCTGTATGGAATTAATAAAAGGCTGGTCTTTTTTCGTCGGGAGAGGACTTCACTTACTTTGTCAAGTCCAAAATATCCTATTGAAAAGAGTAATTCTGCGCGAGATTTCAAAGCTGACATCGTTTATTGAGTAATCTCGCCTGGTCTACTCAATCCAGACGGAGCTTTTAACGTTGGTCAACGGCAGTTATACCGTTGAAGTTATTCATATTTTGGCTAGTAATATTTTCAGTTGCCTTTATAGAGAATAAAAAAATCAATTTTTTAATAGAAATTTAGCAGATAAGATATTTAATGTTCATTCGCTCTATTTGATAATCTTCAAACAAACCGCGAATGTGGGCGTAAAATGCACTCGAAATTCGTTGCTCGCTCTCAGCGCCAGAACACACGATGCTTTCATTTTCGCAATTAATAAATTTAGTTGTGCTCCGAACATTGTTGGCGACGGCGGTATTCTACGTTATTTAGTAACGATAAACAGTACTCAAGAGCTTTGGACGCTGAAGAGCAAAAAAGTTCCATTAAACTTAATAGCAGAACAAAAACAAGAAAAATAATACGGGAATCAACAGCTGGCGTACATATCAACAACACGCACGTCTTATTTGCATACTATTGTACATACATGCACACAACTGTAGTTTATCTTCTTTATTATCAAATTAACGCATAACTATCAGCCAGCCAAGTGTTCGCTCACCTCTATCAGCGAGTAAGATCAGTGACGATTTTATGTACTCGCAAGTGAACTGAGACAACCTTCACCTTGCAATACTCAGTGAGAATTTTCTGGGCACGACGATGGGGAGAAATATAACAACAGTGTCTCAGTATATCTACAGAAGTTCGCTCTATCGAGCGGGTTCTCAACAACACACTCGCAGTTGGTTGCGTTGGTGAGTACCTCAATGTTTGTTTTCGGATGGGAGAGCTCACAAAAAATTATTTAATAACAAAGTAAATCATGTCCGCGTAAGTACATATGTATATACTTACAAGAGACTCGTGTACAATGTTCCTTGTGAAACGCTAAGTCGCGACTGTAACTTAAAATTGCTTAATACAAAAATGGTAAATAAATTATTATAAATTATTCATGCAGTTAAACTTGTCACTCCTAATTAATACAAATATGTATGTATGTATGTATATATAAATGTGCTAAGGCAGTAACTTTGCCATCGCAGACAATGAGCTTCTCCAAATAACCCCTGCGGGTTAGGGGCTCGAGAATTTACCCGCGGTAAGGTATGCCTGTCGTAAGAGGCGACTAAAATCCAATAGTTCCCGCGACAGTCGGGTCTTTATACCGGAACGACCCGGACTTTTATCCGGCCAAGGACTGTCACTCCCGCAACATTCCCAAAAAGGACTTTGGGGAATAATTTTGCGGTTACAACAACAACAACAACAACAACAGCTTCTCCAAATATTTTGCAAGCAACAATCAATTCTTTTTTGAACGTCTTCCAGCTTATCGGTTCAACGACCAGCAGCAGTAAAATCGCTGAACGCACATCCTGCGCATCTTCATTACATAGGCAAGCAGCCGTTAGTTTATCGTAGTGTGGGCCAGGAGTTGGAGCTTGCAGCTGCCGAATATGGCAGCACCGAAGCCATTGTTTCGTGTCACGAACAAAAACGACACACATTCCGCAGCCTCCTCGAAGACGTCGACCGTGTGGCGGCTGGTCTGCTGAAACTAGGTTTGAAACAAGGCGATCATGTCGGTATTTGGGCGCCGAACAATATGCATTGGTATCTGACGATGTTAGGCGCAGCGCGCGCCGGTCTGGTGTCGGTGAGTGAGAGCAAATATACATATATACGCACGTACTATACTATAAAATGTTTCTTAGGTTGGTATAAATCCCGCCTTTCAAGGGCCCGAAGTAGACTATTGCCTGAAGAAGGTTAAGGTGAAGGCCGTAATAATGCCGGAAACATTTAAAACCCAGAATTTTTACGAAATCATAAAAAGTATCTGCCCCGAGTTGCCGCATAGTGTTGATGGCCGTATAAATAGTGCCAATCTGCCACATCTGAAACACGTCATAATCGACACACCCAACAGGCTGAAGGGCGCGCTCAGCTTCGACGATTTGCTCGGCTTAGGCAACTCGGATGAGCGTGAGGCCATCGCACAACTACAGCGATATGTTATGCCAGATAGCGGCTGCAATATTCAATTCACCTCCGGCACGACGGGTAAACCCAAAGCTGCTCTGCTTTCGCATTACAACTTCGTGAATAACGGCACACATATTGGCAATCGTAATCAACTCGATAGCAATTCACGCATTTGTGTGCAAGTACCACTCTTTCACGTCTATGGCGTTGTTATAACGGTTATGGCCGCAATGACACATGGCAGCACTTTGGTATTACCAGCTGCTGGGTTTAGTCCCGCGGACTCACTAAAAGCGATCGTCGATGAGAAATGTACAGTGATACATGGCACACCCACTATGTATGTGGATCTAATAAAGAAACAGCGTGAGCTGAAACTGCCTTTGAAGACGGCGAAAATGGCCGTAACTGGAGGTGCACCATGCTCTCCGCAACTCTTTTTGGATATCAAAGAAGTTCTTGGTCTTGACCATGTGCGCACCGTATATGGTTTGACTGAAACCACTGCGGTTATCTTCCAGTCCCGTCCAGGCGATAATAATGAGCGCATTTTGAATACAGTCGGCCATCTGCAGGATCATGTCGAAGTGAAAGTAGTTGATGCGGAGGGCCATATAGTGCAGTTCGGCCAACCAGGAGAGCTGTATGTGCGTGGTTATGCCACAATGTTGGAGTATTATGACGATCCGGAGAAAACCAAGGAGACCATGGGCAACGATAAGTGGTTGAAGACAGGGTAGGCTATTACCTTCAATTAGACTTTTGCTTGTGTGAGCGGGCATAATTTTTTCAGAACTTTTGAAACAAGTATTTATGAAAACTGGAAAATAGTCATTTAATAATTTTAATTTTTAGCGATCAGTTCATTTTGGAGGCGGACGGCTATGGTCGCATAGTCGGGCGACTGAAGGAGATGATCATTCGTGGCGGCGAGAATATATTTCCCAAGGAAGTGGAAGATTTCCTCAACTCGCATTCAAAGATTATTGAAGCGCACGTAGGCTTGGCATAAAATTAATATAACCGGTTGCAAATCTAATATCGCTCCCTTTCTTTCCCCCGCTCTTTCGACGTACTAGGTGATCGGCGTACCAGATGAACGCTTGGGTGAGGAGTGCTGTGCCTTTGTGCGTCTACAAGATGGCGTTGAGAGCATTACGCATGAGGAATTAAAGGAATTTGCCAGAGGAAAAATCGCGCATTTTAAAGTGCCACGCTTTGTCATACCCATAGATCAGTTTCCGAGAACTGCTTCGGGAAAGATACAAAAGTTTAAACTTGCCGAGACATACAAACAAATGCAAAAGGAAAAGGCTTAAGTACATTAATTTATTGTCGAAGGAAAATAAGCAAATAAATAGAAAAAAAAATTTCGTCCTCTTATTTTATTGTCGTTTTTTTTTTTTGGTCAAACAAGTGATTTTATTTAGAAAAAATTATAGATGGCATCATTCAAAAATTGTTGCCGAAAGAGACTACTTTTTTCTACACTTCTGGTAATTTTCGAGTCCTCTCTGTCCGAACCGTCGTCATTTTGAAAAATCACCTTGTCATGCCTTTCGGTCATTTCTGGCCGTTTTTCACACAATGTACGGCTCAAAGACATTAGTTGTAGCCGATAATATTTCGCATGAATGGATTAGCATGGACCTGGCAGCTTTTAGTACACCAGGATCATGATCACGCAGGGCATGATCTTTGAACCGTGGAATTTTTCTTAATGTTGATGTAGACAATAATGGAACGAGCTCATCTGGCTTGCCATAGTATGTTTTTTTCTCGAGGTTGTAGTATGTCCATTTTTCCCCTCCAATCATAATTTAAGGTTCTTCAAGGAGCAATTCCAAGGTAAAAATCGTATTTTGACCTATCTCGGCTTCAACTCCTACTGCAATTAATTGCCTTGCTTTTGAGTGAATCGAAATTGCTTTTGTCGAAAGGAAATTGTTTGCTGAGTTACTGCCATCGGCTCTTAGAGTGCAGCTTGCGCTTGGTAACAGTATTGATCTCTAGGGTCCTCCCATTGCTCATCCTTAAACCTTTTTGGGTTGGCTAGTACGTTGTTTGTCTTCGACAAAAATTACCAGTTTTGAAGTGTCGAAACTGCTCTTTGCAAGATCAGTTGGTCGGCGCTCGTTCACCATAAGCAATGACGTTGCACTCGATACCCCTGCGGGTTAGGGGCTCAAGAATTTACCCGCGGTAAGGCATGCCTGTCGTAAGAGGCGACTAAAATCCAATAGTTCCCGCGACAGTCGGGTCTTTATACCGGAACGACCCGGATTTTTATCCGGCCAAGGACTGTCACTCCCGCAACATTCCCCAAAAAGTACCTTGGGGAATAATTTTGCGGTTACAACAACAACAACAAAGTTGCACTCTATAGGCTTCAGGTGCATTTTTCTTCCAATTAATACAAAAAATCAAAACTTCTCGTAATTACTGTTTATTTAACACAAATCCGGACATTTTCGAGTAAGCAAAAACAATGTTGTTGTCCGAAACAGACGTTGATGCACACTTACTATTGCCGACAGATGTGAAACCTTTCCTAAGAAAGTGGTAATCGCTTCTTATATCGGCTACACCTTGCAGGGGCATCTTTTGAGAAATAACCGAATTAATTCGCAAACATGCATACCTTACATGATATTTCTGGCCGGTATTGGCCCTTTACGTTGTTGCACTGGGTTAGTTTAATTTTTCGGTTGCTTCGTTGTTCTCAGGCGTCTACGTCTTGCGTTAGCCAAAACAGAGAAGAATCGGCTCCCAAAAGCGAACATTGCTCTCGAATTGAGCACAGAATGGTTAAACGAGTTTAGCGTGCGCCAATCTACGGTTACTTCAGCAACAGAAAAACGCCACACCGTACGGACTGGCAATGTTCAACACGGCTAGATCGTTCAGTTGTTTTCATATCGTCGTTTCATCGCAATCGCAGTAGATTTCTTGAATGAAAAATAGCAAAAATAGCAAAAATATAAAAACTGTAGGAAATAGCACGCGATAACTCGTTAGCTCTCATTAATATCAAATTAGTTCCATGCATAACCATAGAATTTATTCATAAAAATAGAGAAGTAAATAATTATTGAATAACTCGGAGTGAATTTAATGGATTAAAGCTGTTTTGAAGAACAGTTGGGCATTGCTGTATTAGAAGAATTACTACTGCAGGGCGAAATGAGTGCAAATAAAATGTTGAAAAGGAATCTGCAACTAATTCCACGTATCCTGGGAACAAATGGTCTATCTTCGTTCGTTTTAATACGCCGGTACGTATTCGAGTTGTGCTCTCAATCGTAAAGAAATTAAAGAAATATGATTTTTCTTTGTATTAATGATTTAAATTATATAATGCTCTTCTCAGCTTTATTCTTTTTAGTAACTGTTTTTTTTTTTAATTTTCCATGCGTCTCAAACAGTTAAATATGTGTGCATGTATTGTATATGGTTGTTGGCATTGAAATTTTTTAAAGCTGTGATAAGAAATAAAATAATAATTTTTTTGTTTTCTTTTAAAAAACTATGCGAAATACTAGTTTTTCTTAAATTTTTTGTGTAACTAAGCGGACTGTATTAACTTGAAAAAAGACGTGAAAAAAATGCTATGATTTTCCATCGTCTAAGTTAGGGTATTAACTAGAACCGAATGAAGCAGTCATGAGTTCTACTTTCAACTCGGACGCACCTTTTTTGGAGACGTCATCGGAAATGACGTTACTATGGCAAAATTTTAGTATTTTCTTCTTGAAACTACAGAAATTCTTTTAATCTTTTTCCTTAACAAAAGTAAATTAGTTTGATTAAAACTTTTTACTTTTTATTAATTTTTTTTTATACAGAACTCATTTTCCCTCGAGTGAACCTCTGTACTACAGGGGCTACTAGTCCCTTAAGACATTCTTGGCAAAGCCGGTGTCAATCTTGCGGAGAGTAATTTTTTCTCAAAGTCCTCAATTCATTCTATTTCATTTAAAATTAGTCTGCACGAATATATTACTATCACTTATTTTGTCTTGATCAATTCTTCGCACGATTTGCATCTATGCTCGTTCACACTTAACTTGAACGTAAAAGCATGGCTTGTAATACGCAGCCGCAAAATAATAAAATGGTCCTATGCCTATATCCAAGTCATATTAATTATTGTCAATATGTCGGTGATCACCTTTCCCCAAAGAAAGAATTATTTATACTTCGAGCAAAAGGAAGTGTGTTCTCGGTCTCTGGTTCATTTCCAGAAAGCAAAAGCATTTCATTTCGGCAAACATCAAAAATTTATTTATGAATAACTTAAATTTTCCCAAATAAATCGATCCACTCCCGAAAGAAAAGAATTCCAATTGAAAACATATTGAACAAAATTTTTCGCACAAATCCAAATTCGCGTTGTGTTTTCAGTGTCAATACAACAAAATTCAAAAATCTCAGAACTACAGGTCAATATATGCGGGTCGTATCTTCATATATAATATACAATAATATATACATAGATATATTGAATTAAAGGTATTTTTATGCTCTATTTATTTATTGTATTTTGGTTTGTTGTTAATCGCAAATAATTTAAAGTAATTTATTTAAGTTTATTTTTCTTGAAAATGGGTTTTCGCCAAATTCTTCAACACAAATTACATAAATATGAATAATAAATAAAGAATTTCACTTGCCTTTCCAATAATAACAACTTTTTAAATATCGGATATTTACATATGTATATATGTGCATATTTATTTATATATGTATGTATATAAAGTTTCTTTAAAGTTTTTTTTTTTTTAATTTGTCTGCCCATTTCTCCAAAGAGGAAAGAGACTAGACCCCGTCCGCTTCTTCATTTTCTCCATCTCAATGTAATGCGCTCCATAAACATATTCAAAAAAATAAATAAAAAATATAAAAAAGTATATAAAAAAATTTAGATGGAAAATTAATCTCTGGTTTAAAATATCTATACTCTGGGACAGCTCTTGCATCTATTTTTGCTATATTTATATATTTCATACTAAGATATGTAATATTATTGTTATGTACGAGTATGTATGTATGTATGCATCTGTTGACATGCCAACTTTTATTTATGTGTTGATGTAGAAAAAAATTCTTATCGCCGGTTTTTATTTAATTAATTTTTTTTTTTTTGCAAAGATTTTTGCCGCCCAACGCTTAGGCAAACAAATGAATTTACAGTAATATAAATTAAAGAATAAAATTTTTTTTATTATAAGCTTTTTATTACAATACTAAATGAACATGTGTTTAAATGCTATAAATTTTAATATTTTAATTAGTTATAAAAATAGAATTATTGGAGGTAAATATTTATACTGTTAGTTTTGAACTCATAGATTTCTGATATTTGCGGGGCGGGGCATTAAATTTATCATATCCGACATAATAGCGCGTAGGAGAAGTGATTAGCCTGAAGTAATTGTTATAAGTATGTCGCTTTATGCCCTAAGCAATTGATTTCTAAACATAATCTTATCGGTATTGTAACAACAAGAGCTGCTACATATGTTTTTACATACTTATGTACATACATACATATATACCAATTTAGTTGATTACAATCTAATCTCAACATGCCAGCTATTAAATAATTTAATGAAATTCTCAATTACAATAAATTCATTTCAATGCCCGATAACAATCTTACACGACAATTGACAAAAAATAAATAAAACATACAAATAATAACTGTAATTTCTGCGATTTAAATTAGTTGATTACGGGCAATATCAATTTGTTTGTCATAGGTTTACGTTAAAGTCGCACATGCCGTGTCTTAGATTACAAAAGGTCACCCTGTGATCTATGGCCAGAGCAAACTGAACTTTTGTAGGAACTTTTCTTCGGCATGAATGGAATGGAGGTGGTGAAACTGAATTGCCAAACGACGACGATGCAACAGACGGTCCCTCCACAAAAAAGACCAACCCAGAATATGTCCCAATTTTAAGTTTTCCATCATCAGGCATCCACATTTAAGTACAATATAGAGACACGTAACTGCTTCGTCGATTTTAAAGTAATATTCGATAGCAACAAAAATAGTTGTTGAGTTTGGTATCTCCATGGAACATTACGACTAAAGCGATGTAAGCTGACGCTAAAATACTAAAATCTCCTTCTGGATTGGTACGGACTTCCCAGAGTCGTTCGATACTAAACGAGGTTAAGACAAGAACAGTGCTAGACAGAGAAGTGGATAAGTTCCGTAAGTTCGGCTTTATCCAGCGAGGGCAAGACGAAAAATGTCTATTATCAATCAAAATTTCAACGCTACTTTGAGAAGTAGAGCCCGCTCTCGGAGAACAGGACAAATCCCTACATTTTCTCCACCTGGACAATTAAAATATACGTTGAGTCGGTTTTGGGAGTCTTGAAGAGCAAATTTTTGTGAAAGATTTATGGCTCATTTGCAAATGTAAGCGATGACCTGACGTAGTACCGCGAATCCGGAGAGATGGCTACGCAGGCGGGGTCATATTGCGCGAATGTATGACAGCTCTACAGCCTTGCAATATCCGCCGCTAGAAGCAGAGGAAAGCAAGGATGGATGCTATAAAGAAGAAAGAACATTAAAGTTAAGATTAAAAATGACGAACAAATTTTGCACAGAAATAGATCGATGGCAACCAATTTTTAAATGTAGCTTAGTAAACAAGTGGAACCCTTCCTCACTGGAAGTACCCCAATAGAATATCTTTAGTTTTCAAAATTTTTTCAACTGAGCTCCTTGTTTAATGCCTCTTGTTTAATATCGACATGAGTACTTCATTTTTTTTTTTAGCAAGTTACTTGATATGCTTTAAATTCCTTCCAGGCTCTCCGCCTCGATTACAAAAACTGTCGAAGCTCACAAATTCTATCCAGCTTACCTTCACTACGTCGGCAAAGAACCGTTGGTGTACCGTAACGTTGGTCAACAGCTGGAGAAAACCGTTGCCGAATATGGCAGCACCGAAGCCATTGTTTCGTGTCACGAACAAAAACGATACACATTCCGCAGCCTCATCGAAGAAGTCGATCGCGTGGCGGCAGGTCTGTTGAAACTGGGTTTGAAACAAGGCGATCATTTCGGTATTTGGGCGCCGAACAATATGCATTGGTATCTGACGATGTTAGGCGCAGCGCGCGCCGGTCTGGTGTCGGTGAGTGAGAGCGAAAATACATATATACGCACGTACTATACAATAAACTATTTCTTAGGTCGCTATAAACTCCGCCCTTCAAGCTCGCGAATTAGACTACTGCCTTAAGAAAGCTAAAGTGAAGGCCGTAATAATGTCGGAAACATTTAAATCCCAAAATTTTTACGAAATCATGAAAAGTATCTGCCCAGAGTTGCCGGATAGTGTTGATGGCCGTATAAATAGTGCCAATCTGCCACATCTGAAACACGTCATAATCGACACACCCAACAGGCTGAAAGGCGCGCTCAGCTTCGACGATTTGCTCGGCTTAAGTAACCGAACTGAATTTGAGGCAATCACACAACTGCAAAGGCATATAGCGCCGGATAGCGCCTGCAATATTCAATTCACCTCGGGCACCACGGGTCATCCCAAGGCTGCAGTTATTTCGCATTATCATTTCGTGAATAACGGTATACACATCAGTAATCGCAATCAATTCGACAGTAACACCCGAATTTGCGTGCAGGTGCCACTCTTTCATGCGTTCGGCACTGTTATTACTATAATGGCTGCAATGGATAAAGGCAGCACTTTGGTATTGCCAGCTGCTGGGTTTAGTCCCGCGGACTCACTGAAAGCGATCGTCGATGAGAAATGTACCGTGATACATGGCACACCTACTATGTATGTGGATCTAATTAAGAAACAGCGTGAGCTGAAACTGCCTTTGAAGACGGCGAAAATGGCCGTAACTGGGGGTGCGCCATGTTCGCCGCAACTCTTTTTGGATATCAAAAACGTGCTGGGCTTGGAGCGAGTGCAAACGGTTTTCGGCATGACTGAGACGACGGCTATTATTTTCCAAACACGACCCGGTGATAGTATGGATCAAATTCTGAATACCGTTGGACATCTGCAGGATCACGTCGAAGCCAAGGTGATCGATGCTGAGGGTAAAACCTTGAGCTTCGGTGAATCTGGTGAGCTATGCGTGCGCGGTTATTTGACGATGTTGGGTTACTATGAAGATGAAGAAAAAACTAACGAAACTATTGGACGCGATGGATGGCTAAGAACAGGGTGAGTTGTACACACTGAGAGGGGAATGATATTACTATGTTTGTCTTATCGGCATTAAATCTACGATCCCCGAATACAGTGACCAATTTATTTTGCAAGCGGATGGTTATGGGCGTATTGTTGGACGTCTAAAGGAGATGATCATTCGTGGTGGTGAGAATATATTCCCGAAAGAAGTCGAAGATTTCCTCAACTCTCATCCGGATATTTGCGAAACTCACGTAAGTATAAAAATATGTTTTTTTTTTATAACGGTAACAAAGAGACTAATATTCATTTCATGTCCAGGTTGTTGGCGTGCCTTGCGAACGCTTGGGTGAGGAGCTGTGCGCCTTCGTGCGCCTACAAGATGGCGTCACGAAAATCTCACGCGATGAGATTAAAGAATTTTGCAAAGGAAAGTTGGCCCATTTCAAAATTCCCCGTTATGTGATACGCGTTGATAATTTTCCGAAAACTGCTTCGGGCAAAATACAGAAATTCAAACTCGTTGAGCTGTATGAAAAGGAGCATCAGGCGCAATAAAAACGCAATTATTTTCAAATATTGATTTTCGTAAAACTAAATTTTATTGCATTTAATAGTTTTAAGTTGAATTGTTCTATATACATAAATTACGACTTTATACTTTTTATTAAAATATAGTATTTGGCGAAATAAACCTCCCTGCTATTTATATGAGAGACACTGAAGAAATATAAGCGAAGTGCTGAAGGGTGGATTCCATCTTCTTCTCAAACGCCCGAAGCTCGTACTGACGGCTGAAGCACTTAAGACTGACTGTGATTTTGGGTGTCTTCTGCCGTTAGATCAGTTCCTCCACGTTCCCACAGTTGTGGCAAGAGACATTTGAAACCCAACCCATCTCTTTACCGTAAGCTCTTGTTAAACAGTGCTGTATTATTTTTGAATTTACATTGCTGAGTGAGAACCGATCCAGAAGTAAAATTTTCGCCCTACTACCATCTACAAAAAAGTATGCTCGGATGCTTTCGGTAAAGGAATAAGAAGAAAAAAATAAAAAAGTACCTTCAGACAAGCTCGCAGCTGATTAGTTAACAGATAACGGTTTCAAAACATCTTTTGCATTCGGTAGCAGCATTGCTAAGAGTAGTGAAGGCGGTAGCATACTCGGTGCTGTCATCCCTCCAGCTAAAATTTTGCAGTGGCAGTATGCAAAGCGGAGAAAGCTAAATGTTTCAACAAAAAAAATCATGGAAGATTAGTGTGTAGATTGTTTTTCAAGCCAAATCATCTTTTTAAAAACAACTACGCACCGAAAACTAAGAAAATAACTCTAAATTCATTGCCGTCATATAATTTTTTTTCATTAACTCGCCCTCTTCATACACGTACTTATTAAAACCTGTCTACAAAGATTATAATTTGATAGTTATTTGCTGGCATACGTTGGCCATAAAAGCCGACAAATTATGTCGAGACACGCTTGTGAGATATGAGCTTAGAGTGATTTGAGATGGAGGGTGAGTGATAAAGGGAGAAGTAGAGAGAGAGAGAGAGAGAGAGAGAGAGAGAGAGAGAGCGCGCGCGTTGGAAGGAATGAAATCAAATGATAAATTTTCGATCGCTTCTTGGATTATCTATTTCGTAGTTTCAAATGTACAGGGTTGATCAGGATCAGATCTGTTGAAAGGAATAGACTGTCATTGAGAATTAGCTTAAGCGGGTCTTTTCAAACTTGAAAAAACTCATTAATATTGAATCAATTTTCTCATTGATACAAAACATTTTCTGCAATCTTCTTCTTTTATTTATAATTTTTCTGAAACAAAACGCTCTCTTTATGATAAAATTTTATTTATTAGTAAAGTAATTTATATTTAATTCAAAACACCCACATGAAGATTAATTTTCAAGTCGACTCTCTAATATAAGAGGTCCTTGCTAAATTTACATAGCAGGGCTCTCCGCAGCAACCGTGGAACTACCAGTTGCGGTTACATCGCCATTGACGGCAGCTTCACTCACGCCACCAGGCGGCTGAAGAGCAGCAGCTACAGTCGAAGGTGCTTGATTCACAGGCGCAGCAGTAGCTGGTACAACAACAGACGTTTGAGCAGCAATGCCTGGACTAGTTTCAGTAGCACCACCAACGGCAGTTGTAGCTTGCGACGAACTTGAAGGTACAGGAGCATGGAGAATAGACGCGCTCGTTGTCGTAGTGGGACCACCAATTATTTGGGAAATTATTGGAAGTTTATTCAATAACATCAAGTTATTGGTTATAATGTTTCCCAGCGTTGCTGGCAGCTGCAGGATTGAAGATATGGGACTTGCATTCGACAAGCTCAACGCCAGCAGAAATGTGACTGCGACAGTGAATGTAAAAATGAAATAAAAAATTACAAGTTTAAGCTTATCTGTAATAATGGAGTTAGTGTATTTACCGAAAACAGCGGAAGAATATTTTGAAGCCATACTGATGCTGCGTGCTTACTGAAAAGCGTATGCGGAATGCGCTCTCAAGTGGCGGCTCGTACTTATTTATTGGAAATTTGAGCAATTTTACCTTTATTTTTTCATAGTGTCTATTCTAAATTCTATTACTGATTGGGATATTTCATATCTGGAAAATCTTTCTTTTCAAAATTTAATTGCTTTTAGAATAAAGGAAATACGCTCAGCTAATTTAAGTCACTGCACGCCTTTGCATTTGCATTTACATTTTACGATTCTAGTTATGTGATTAGTTTTAATTAGCGACTGGTGGGAGATATTTTAAAATCCGTCTTTAAAAAATAAACTTTTTTTTTTAAATTTGGTGCACGCACTTTGTATGCGTTTGTTGACGTCAGCAACTGCCATTTATTAATGGACTGCTGCACCATTTGATTTGTGCTTGACAGCCACTGAGCAGACAACCTTGCAAATTTGACACGAAAATTCATGTTCTGATTAACTTTTTTTTGCGAAAAAACCATCACAACACCAAGAAAACATATTTTTCAACATTACTTTTTTTAACGACGTACCCAGCTTGAAAAATGGGGATAGTTCGAACAGCCCTGAATTCAAAACGGATCGTTGGACGAGTCTGTCGCGGTGACACTTACCTCCTACTCTGAATAAGTACAGATTGGCACATCAACTGTTATAAAGCACATGAAGTACATGGAAAGTTAACAGGACAAAAATGTAGGTAGGGTGTTCTCAAAACCTTCCTCTAAAAAGCACCCTACGATTCATAAAACATTAAGCATGTAGGAACATTTTTTAAACACAAACGAGAACTTATTTGCACTGTTGAAGTTGTTAAAAGATATATAAGAATATTTAGTAATTTCGGGTATAGAAACTTATTTATTTGGATATATGTATGCCGAAATCAACACTAAATCCACAAATATCAACGTTTTCAGTTCGCAGGATGACGGCCTGCTTCGTTATAAATTGTTGTGATGTGTTGATGTGACATTCCAAGATGGAAAGTGAATTCTCGCTGCGTCTAGATAGTTATGAATAAATGGGTAAAGAAGGGGAGTAGCATGTCGTCCTGTGCTTCCTATTGATGTGAAGTGTATTGTGTGATGTGATGTGTTTATGTGATGTGCTGATGTGATGTGTTTATGAGATGTGCTGATGTGATGTGATGTGATATTGTTGTATTGCGTGTTGTGATATGTTGATGTGATGTACTGTGATAACTTGAAGGGCTAAGATATTATAGTGCAAACTCCAAAATATTTACTTTGGGCTCATCACATTAAAGGGAATTTACGACCTACTATGTGTGTAGCTTAGTTGATGTTAATCGCAAAAAGTGTTATTTAACAAAATGTTAACCAAGCAAAAGTACTGACGCCTGCATTTGCGGATTGGTTAGCAGTAAGCGCTACTATACGGAGTGTCAAAAGTTCGAACACTGACCATACCAACAGCTGAAATCATAGAAAATTAATTACAAAATAAATTTTTTCATTGCGGACCCTCCGCAGCTAGAATTGGCAAAACCTCCCGTATGCCAGTAGTAATTAAATCCACTTTTATTTTCAATTTGAAACAAATCATTTCTTTCTTTTATTTATTCATTTAGATATTTGCGTATATTTATAGATTTCTTCAGCATTTGCCTGCCCATCAACGAATCAAACTCCCACAAAATCAACAGCCACCGCATCAAGCATATTCAAGTCATAGAAAATGTGACTGCTGTGGCTCAGTAGCCTTCCGTGACAGTAAAAGGTGTATTTCAGTATTTTGAATTTCCATGCCACCGCAGGAGTTTTCATACATTCCACGGGTATTTTTTGGTGTGCAACATTTCATTAATTCTTCATTATCAAGACTTTTTCTTTAACTGTGCATTTGCAAAAGTTTTCTTTCTTTTATTTTTTCAGTCAAACTCGCTTCAACTGTCACAAATGCTATCAATTTCAATTAATTATTTTTTTTTATTGTTGTTAATTTTCTGTTTCATCTCTTGTTGCGTTCACATAATGTTTGTTGCTGCGTATATATATATCTATCATATATATATGTATATATATGTAATGTTTATTTATAAACTTGTTTTTTAATTTTTTGCTTAGAGAAAGCTAAGCAAGTCGGTACCAGGAAGGGGGCAGGAGAAAGGGATTGGAGTTATTCAGGATAATAAGTGAACCGTTAGTTTGTGTGAGCTGCATTGTTCATCCGTCATTTCTTACCAATTTTAGTTGCATGCATGTGTATATGTAATGAATATTAAAACATAGATTTGCTTAAAATATTTCCTTTTTTTCACGCATTCAAGTAAGCCTACATAGTACATATACATACATATATATTTAAATATGTTTAATATAAAACAAACAAACAATCAATATTAATTTACATACATAGATTCATTGTTACATTTTTGTTTCACTTTAATTATAATGCACATTCTTGGATATAAGTTAGATATTATGTTTGTGTTTTGTTTTTTGTTTTTTATTTTTTATTTTATTGTTTTTGCTCTTAATTAACGCAACACAACTTAACGCGCCACAAATAAACAGTTTGACTGACCTAAACGTAGCAGATCCGCCGACCTCAACAGACACGACTGACTGACTCTGCCAAAGCGAATAAATTTAAAAATACATACATAGATACAGGCAAAACTATACAATAACATAAACTTAATATTAAGGTACACATTTGTTTTATTAAAATTAAATAAATACGTTTAACATGAACTAAACTAAGAATTAAACAATTTCCTTTAAAGCTAAATTACTAATTTTTCCATTTTTATTTATTTATTTATTTATTTATTTATTTATTTATTTATTTATTTATTTATTTATATATTTATTTATTTATTTATTTATTTATATATTTATAAACTCCCATCTGGGATACTCTCGTTTGAGAGACAGGGTTTTAGCAAAAATAATCAATTAAATAAATGAAAACGGGAGGAAAGCTATTTTACTACGCTCTTCTTCTTCACCTTCTTCTTCTTCTTATTCATTGCTATACAGTAATAATTTATCAATTTTACACTTTTCATATACTTTTTTTATTCATAAATAATGGACTTGCTTAACGGGCGCTAATGTTCCGTGTCGAGACTTGAAACTAGACGAGCTGCTTCCGAGTACTCTAAATACCTACATACATACATATACGTGTATATTTGGCGCTTTATAACCTAAATGCACACGTAAGATTATATCTTAGAACGGAGCCACGCGCCTTAATATTTTCAATATTCAACGAGATAATGAACTTCTCTTTAATTTTACATAGCCAGATTGGTGGCGCTCTCTTGAACATAAATGTCCAATTACTGCGCTTTTTTTAATAACTGTACATTGAAAGAACACTCAGCTTCTTGGTAGTCCAAAAATTCAAAATTCTCATTCTTTTGATATAAAAAAAATTAAATTTTTGATGAGCTTGCTATAAAATGTAAGAAAAATAAATATGCAGTGGGCTGTTTTATACAAAAATGTGTGTGAGTAATCCATATGTATTAAGAACTTCTGGAAAATTCAAAAAAAAAAAATGCCATCCGTTATAAGAGTTTTTTCTTTACATTTGGGAAAATACTGTTCATTTTTCATCATATTCATATATTTTCATATTTTTCAAACAAAAAAAAAATACTTTTTTTGATTATATAAATTTCAAGACGAGCCCACTGTAAATATGACGAAATTGATGCAGTGACATCAACAACTGCCAAAACCTTCCAATATCAATCGTTTTTTAAAAGAAAAAATTGTTTGTTATTGTTTTTAAGATTAACTGAGAAATATGAAATAAATCAAACCAAAATTGCTTAAAGATTTCGCACGACTTTTCAAAATTACATATTAAATTTCCCCAAGACTTCTGTTATTTTTTGCCAAACAGAAAATAAATAAAAATTATTTACAATTAAAACATTTTCAAAATTTTTTCACAAATATGCTAAACAAAATTTCTCTTTTTTCATTTATGAAAACTTGTAATTTTACTTTGGACAGCTTTTTTCAATGAGGCATTTTCAAATTAAAAATAATAATTTTTCGTATTTATTCCAGACACACCGGTTGGTTGGTTGCAGGAAAATTGCGTAAATATAACAATTTATACGTTTGTTTTTGGACTACCCTAAGACTATACCTAAGAATCAAGGTTTCTCGTATATACAAATTTTCCTTTCAAAAACCAAAGACAAAAAAAATATTTTTTTTTTTGCTCCGGTACTAAAGCATAGCATTCACAGCTAAATTCATCTAAGCCCAACCGAACTGTTCCCAGTTTTTGTTTTTGTCTCGCCTGATCCTTTTCATAAAGTTGCCATAATATTCTTATAAATTTTTATTATTATTTTAAAAGTTCTCTTTCTTGTTGTATACGAAATTAAAATGACAAATAAATATGCAACGGTACATTATTCATCTTTTTTTTGCAATTAAATTAAATAAAAGTAAGTTTTAAGTATACACAGTTATAAATATTCTAGCGCACGGCGCATAACTCTTGGCCCAAAGGATACCTTCAGCCCAATCAACTCGTCCAATCATCAAATTCCCCGCGTACTACAGGCATATAAACACTAACGCACACATACAAATATTCTATTGGCCAGAGTCTGCTCAATTACACACTTTGCGTGCGTCGCTCTACCGACAAAACAGCTCCAGGCCACTACACACACCGACCGGCGACACAGCAGAGACTAAGTCGCAAGGCGGTGGGCGAGTTGGCTGGTGAGCGTTTTGGCGATGTGAGCGACGCGAACGCACAGCTTATTAAACCTCTTGTCGGCTATTTCAAAATGTTGTTTTATTAAAAATATTACGATCCCTTTCTTTCTCGGCTTTCTTGGTGTGCTGCTGTGACTTGTGTACTGGTCTGTATGCCAAACCAGTTGAAATCGCAATTTGAATAAATTTTACTTCTAGACTCAGAAGCTGTCATCTTCTTCATCTTGTTCATCTAATTCCGCAACTTCGTCTTGTCATACAGTTGAGCCGTTGGTGAAGATCTCTGGATCATCGGACCAGCTCACCTCCATCGGTGTGCCGTTCAAGCTGTTGATCTTTTCCAAAAGTAGAACCTCTTCAAGCGAGTTCTTTAGTGACGATGTGGAACCGGTAGTCGCCGAAGAGGTCGACACCGAACAGACAATTTCATCGGACGATGCTGAACAGCCTTCGTCCTCGGAGTTGGTGCCCGAGACCATCGCTTCGCCGGCTGATTCCTGTATTTCATGGAATTTCTTTTTCAAATCATGCACGGAGGCGTGTGTGGGCAACGATTGCATGTCCAAACGTTCGCCTGAGTTCAGCTTTGAGGTGTCGCATGTGATAAGTTTACGTGAGCCAGCGCTGGATGTTGGCGTACGTTGAAAGAGCGTATCGTCGTGTTTCTCAGCCGCTGAAACTTCTGAGCACATTGTTGATGTACGCGCACGCATCGGATGCGGTGAACTCGAACTGATCGGCTCCTTCCAGTTGACCAACTCTAGTTGATGCTGCTTGCGAGCGTTTGAGCTGGAGCTCTGACGCAGCAGTCGTTTGCCGCTTTTTGTGCCCACCGAGCCGGTATTAAGCGCAGTGCCGCTGCCAGCTTGTGGCGGTTCGCTGCTCTTTACGCTCACCGACTTGGAGCGTATACGCGAGTGCGCACGAGAATTGGGGAACTCGTGTCGCCCATCGCTGGAATGTTGACGTATCACTGAAGTAGCAGACATTGACTGCGATAGTGGGTTGGGTCCACCTATGGTGTTGTTGTGGCCGTTGGCACTGCCGACACTATTTAATGATGTGTTGATAGCACTGGAGCAGCTCGACAGCTGGCGACGAGTTGAAGGACTGCGCTCGACTGAGCGGAATGAACCGGCTCGTTTTACCATTTTCGACGCCGCGGCTTCGGGTGTTTCGTCATCCATTTCGAGCACCCACGATACCGAATCGGGTTTTTCAATCACACCTTTGACAACGGGCGATGTGGGGGGCGAGATATCCTCCATTTGAATGTTGATCAGTGAGGAGCCATTCAACAGTTGAGAACGGTGCAACGAGCCCAGACTAGATTGATTACTCGCATTGATCGAATCCACGGCGGAGAGCTCGTGCAATTTGGTCTCCACAATATGCAGCTGCTCGGAGCGCTGTTTAAGCTGCCATTGAAGCTGCTCGTTATCATAGCTCAGACGTTTGCGTTTGGTTGCCTCGTGGTTATAAGCTTTCTGCATGTCATTCATTTGACGAAGGAAATCCCTGCAGAAACAAGAAGAGAGTTGGAAAGAATGTGGTTTTAGAATTAGTTTTTGCTCAAAAAATTAAAAATGTACTTACTTTTCCTTCTCTGACTTTATATCCAGCTCCGTCTTCAACATCTCATTGTTCGACTCGAGCAAAGATATTTTACCCTGCAGCACGGCGCGCTCCTCAGCATCACGCATTAGCTCTTCATTGTGTTTCGTCAACTTGGAAATCTCCTTCTGCTTCAGCTCCAACACACAGTGCAAACTGTCGGCCTCACTCTGCAAACGCGCCAGCTCGGACGTGCTCGAATTGCGTGGCGAACTAAAACCGCTGCTGCGATCTAAACTCTCGTTGAAGCTGCGTTGGGACGAGCGCAGCACAGATATCTCATCTTGAGATAGATGCAATTTGTCGCGCAACTCGCGCTCTCTATGCTCCTTAGACGTGCGCAACGCATCGATCTCCCTGGAAAGTGTCTTTACGCGCTCATTCAAAGTGTGCTCACGCTCGGTGGCTGCTTGTAAGCGCGCGGCGTAGGCATTTTCTGTGCTCGTCAATTTATCACGCAATTCTTGCTCGGATATTTCCAGCGCGCTGAAACGATCCTTCAAACTACGTTCACGCTCTTCGGCAGCATCCAGTTGCTGTTGCTTTTGTGTGAGCTTATTGTCCATTTCGAGACGATACGAGTCGAGCGTACGTTTGTGCGTCAAAGTTTGCGCATCCAGTTGTGACTCGAGCGTAAGTATTTTCTGTTGTGCGAAAGCTTGATAGTCGCAGAGACTGGCTTGTGCTGGAAGAGAGTTAAATGGAGAATTAATATAAAAATGGAAACTGTGAAAACTTTGAAAGATTTTGCTTTGTTACCTTTCTCCATCTCGCAGCGGTGCAAGGCCTGCAAGTCCTCCTCCCGCTGTGAGTAATAACCCTCCTTGTCGCATAGTTGATCCTGCAGCTGTGTACAGCTTGTCTTCGCCTCATCCAGTAGTTTCAGCGTTGTGGTTAAGTAATTCTGAACTTTAGCTTTCTCAGCTTTAATACGTGGGCAAGCGAATGCATCCAACTGGAAAAATAAAACAAAATATGAGAAAAAATACAACAAGGGGTTTTACAAGGTGCCGTCAAAGGTCTTTATGTCGTACAATATTAAAATAATTTTAAATTAACTTTTGTTGTTTTTTTATATATTTCAACGCCTTTGAAAACATGATAGAGGACAACAAATTCCTTCAATAAATCCACTAAGTTTTTTTCATCATTCAAAACCAATCTTCACCTTGTTTTTTGAGCACTCAACACCATCGTCTGAGAAAGCTTCAGATGAGAGCCTACTTCTTTTTCTACTGCCACTTATCTCGAAGAAGTCATAAACTTTCTTCTTCTTGCTGTCCAAAGCTAACATTATCCCCAACATTTTGAAATGTCTTTATTATTTATCACTCAACAATGGAAACCCGCCCAAAATATGAATATTTTCGAAAATTATATGTTTCAGTGTGGTCGTAGTTGCACTTCACTCTTTACGCGACAAATCTTCGGGTTATACTAAGACGGCCCTTGGCCATACCATGGTATTTGTGCACGCATTTTTGAAAGGCGAATATATTTCCAGGCAAGCCTATGTTAATTCTTGCGCGACTGCGCAGTAAAGTAATTTTCAATGCCTGCGGAGTACATTTATAAATATGTGTATACAAGCATTAGGGTGGACATTCAACTTTTTTCTATGTGCAAAAAATGTTAATTTTCCTTTTTGAGATTTAATAAAAAAAAAGTTTTAAAATATAAACATTTAAAAAACATATTTAAATAATTTTTATGCATTAGTTTCGGCCGTTGAAAGCAGTTAATGACCACCTTAATGCCCACTCATGTGTGTATGTACCTGGAAAATTTGAGCAGCAAAAGGACTTGCACATACAATATACATACATACATGCACTCGTACACTCACACACACATTTTCTCGGTTAACCGAGTGTTTAAAATGCGTAACTGCGAAGATTCCGGTCGCCGGTTTTCCGAAAACAAAAGATTGCTAGTGAAGAGGACTAGCTAACACGTGAACTACGGGTAAGTATTTTAATTACTTTGGGATATTGGGATTATATATGTACCATTGTATATATATATACAACTATACATAGTTTTTGGTTTAGTGACAGGAAGAAGCTGTACGCAACTGTAAATATATACATATGCATGTATAAATATATATGTAAGTATATATGTACGAGTATATTGAGGTAGGCTTCTTTGTAGTGTTAAATTTTGTTTCATGGAAAAATATTAATAACAGTAAAAACATACATACATACTAAACATAGAAAAATTTCTAAACCTGCATATAAGCAGAAGTTTCCAGGCCCTGGATTTTTTTTTTTTTTTAATTTCTCATTTTAAAGAAAAAATTTTATTATCCCAAAAATCAGTGAGCAGGCAACACTGGCGTTTCTAGAGAAATGTATATATGTACATACATAAGTATAGATGATATTGCATAATCATATGTCAACTGAGTTGCAAGACATTTGTTTTTAATAAAGATCAGCACTGCGCTGCTTTTGAACACAAATTGCAGGAAAACAAGGCTTTCCAAAATATAATCTGCACTCTAAAATAATATTATTTTTCGGATTTTCTATTTGCATGTTAAATCCTCTGATATGCATTGCACTTAATCTCCGTTAAGTAATCATTAAATCTTTAAAGTTCTGTGGATTATGAGTTTTTCCAAAAAGTATTATTTTCAAAATATATTTCAGTATTGCTAAGGGAAAATATTAAATTTGTTTACATATGTGAGAACACATGTAAATTTTATAAGACAAATGGTCACCAGATGACGAATGAAGAATTTGAATCAGTTGCTATGGACAAACTAATAGACATGTCCCACAGAAAACGATACTATTGAAATTTTTTTTTAAATGTCTAACTAATGTAAAGGGAATATTTGACCAATGGAAAACGAGTATAAAAGTTTTTATTTTTTCCTTTTTTTTTTTTAAATTACAGATCAGTTAATATATGTCCCATAGAAAACGAGACTGTTCTGAAACTTATTTAAATTTCAGACCAAAGTAGGGGGTGGGTTTTTCTTTTCAAAAAAAAAAAAAAAAAACTTTTGCTAAAATAATTTGAAAAATACCACCCTCGGAATGTTGTCAGAAGCATTAAAGCAGAATGAAAAATTTTCCATAACTGACCGACTTACTATTTCCTCATTTGTCAAGCCTCTAATCTACTTAAAATGAGTTTATAAAACTCTTTTGCTCTAAATATTTAAGTGCATAATCTAAATTTAGTCAGAATTATGATACCGAACTAACTATACTTTGGTCTATATGTATGAATGTAGTATGTATGGCTGTGTGTATGTGTGTATGTTTGGTTTTTTGGATTTCTGTAGTACAATTTCCCTAAGCAAAAAGTATTGAATTCCAGTTTTGTTTGCTAATTTATTTTTATTATTGCATTTAGGGCGCATTTTGTAAGTCTCGCAACAACAACAACAAAAGCTTTGGAATTATGCTAAGGCATATTTTATGGCGAAACAATAAACTTGTGTTAAACAGATTTAGTTTAACACCCTAAAATATACGTACATATGCACATACATACAGCCTTCGCCAAAAGTATTAGACACCCCACTAAAATGCAAGTATTCTCAAATGTGGCTATCAATGTTGCCACTTCCTTTTATAAATGTCTTACATGGGTGTTTAACTGTTTATTAACGAATAAATTGTGTAATATTAAAAGTCAAGCACTCTGGGTAAGCTAAACCTTAAAATTTTCATTCTTAAGAAATTCCTAAAATATTTTCGAATAGAAAGTGTGAATTGCATTTAGTGAAATGGTACCAATCTCATAAAAACAGTTCATATTTACCAAAATGCCTAAAAAAAGTGAAATTAGTTACGAAGATAGAGCTAGAGTTCAAGTTCTAAGTGAAGAAGGTAAGACTCAAGATGAGATTGCCAATTTCGTGGGATTTCGCGGTGCGCGGTCCAATGTGCTATCAGGCGATTTGTGGAAACGAAATCCCACAAAAATAAATCAAAAAGTGGAAGAAAGCGTCTAACCAGTAAGCGAGAAGACCGAATACTTATACGCGAGTCTCTCAAGGATCGCAAAAAATCTTCTTCTCCCCCTGCAGCTGCCTTTTCGGATGAATTTAGCTCAAACAGTTAGAAGAAGACTTCTGGAGAGGTTTAAAAGGATGTGAAGCCCGAAAGAAGCCGTGGCTCTCAGAAAAGAAAAGGAAATCTCGTTTGGAATGGGTTCGCCGATACCAACATTGTTCTGTGGTCTGATGAATCAAACTTCGAGATAAGCTCAGTTAAGATCGCCTTATGAAAACATTACTTTTTTCTTTCCTACAGATACTTGGAACACCTAGTGTGACGTTCGTGAGGCGACGGGTTGGGGCAGAATATCATCCAGATTGCCTGGTACCCACTGTTAAGCATGGAGAAGGCAGCATTACGATCTGGGGCTACATGGCTGCTGATGTTGTTGGCGAAATGGTCATTTGCGAGGGTCGCATGGACAGTCAAAAGTACATAAATATATTTGAAGCTGTTCTTCTGCCTTCGTTAACGCGCATTTTCGGCGATACTAGTTTCAGCAAGACAATGCTGCTTGTCACAAATCAGCGACTACGATGCAATGGTTTAGAGATAGCAAACTTTTTTTTTGTTAGATTGGCCTGCACAGTCTCCAGATCTTAATCCCATTGAGCACATGTGGGCCATTTTGAAACGCAAGATTAAGGAACATAGTATTACGTCCAAAACTGTCTTAAAGAATGCCTTCATTAACGAGTGGTACGCTATAAGGCCGGACGAATGTCCAAAGCTTGTACGCAGCATGCCTAAGAGAGTTGCCGCCGTTATTAAATCGAAGGGTGGACCTACTAAATATTGATGTAATTATCACTAATTCATTGTATTTTCACTGTTTTACTAATTAAACTTCATTATTTCACTTGTTAAAACAAAGAAAATTCGGTAATTAGTGGGGTGCCTAATACTTTTGGCCAAGGAAGGCCGTATATGGTTGCAATCTCTACGAAAGTATGTATGTAAGTAGATGTTTATATATGTGTCAATATGTATTTTCAAATTGACTGCACTGATGTGAGTCGTTTTTAATTTCCACAAATAATGTCTGGCGCCAGCGACATTTTAACTCTATTCGGTTGAGCGTAACATTAGATACACATATATATGTATGTACGATTGTAAATGCTACGCATACTCATACAAATATGTGTATAGCATTTCGAGTGCCTGTTACGATACTTTCGAATTTTCGCGCAAATTTCTATGCCCGAATACCTGACGACAATAACTGAGAATTTAATTTTTTTTTTAAATTTTTCGCGATTTTCTAATTTTTTTTTTTTTTTTGGCATCCTTGCCGGCAAACCAGGATATGCATTAAGAAGTGTAAGCCATAAATAACATTCAGCTCTCTAAGGCGAAACCATAAATTACGGACGCCGTTGTCGTCATTGGCTACGGCGCCACCCTCTAACAACAGGTAATTTGAATGTCTTTACTGTTGTTGTTGTTGCGGAATTCAAATGAAGTTTCGTATGGACTTTGCAATGACCTTTTCTTCTTGTCCTGCTTCTTATTCTTTATCCTCCTTTTATTCTACTACTCACATCATGCACCGCATACTGCAGCAACACGCCCAACACCTCAATGCTTTTGTTCCGCTGCTCTTCCTGCAGCTCCGTCTGCTGCAGGTGCCGCTCGATCGCTTCATAATCCAGCCGTCCGTTGCACGAGTGTCGATTTAAATACTTCAAGCGTTGCAATTCTGTCGCATCCAGACGCTCGGTGGCACTTGTCGCCGACACAGGTGCGGCGTCTTCGGCTGAGCGTTGTTGTTGGTGTGATTTTTGTAGTAACGCTTTGCCACGCGTCGACAGGAATTTCGCCTGTGATTTCTGTATGCGGGTGATGGAAGAAAACAAATTAGAAATTTTGTGTTACTGTGGTTTATTGAAGGTTCAACTACCGACCTTTTCCAGCAACGTACCACCAACAACACCAGCGGCGGCACCGGTAACACCAACGACTGTTGATGCTGTTGTTGTTGTTGTTGTTGTTGTTGTCTTCTTGCCATGATGCCCCAGTATGGGCGAATTTGTGCGTGTTGCTGTTGTTGTTGTACCATTAGTTAATGTTGTTGCCGTTGTTGTTGTGATGCTATTATTATTATTGTGGTTGATTTCATGCAATTCCGTTGGTGTGTCCGTTGTATGTTTGGCATTTTTAGTAGCCGCATTGCCACCGCTAGCACGATTTTGATCTGCAAGAGAGAGAGGAAGAAGAAGAAAAGAGAAGTTTTAGTGACAGTTAAGAGACAAATGGGTTTCTAAACGATGCGCTAGCGCAGAGCAGTTAGTTTTTTTGCTTAGGATTGAGCGCCAATCGGCTTTAATATGAAAATTATATATTAGGACCGTTAAAATAGCATGATATAAATTTTCATAAGAAAAGGCAAAAAGAAGAGAAGTAATAGTTTTTGAATTTTAGTTCTTGGTAAATTATTTTTTTTTTTACTTTTTGCAAGTGCCTTATAAAGGATCAGATTGGCTGATCAAAGTTCAGATTGACACGACGAAAAAAAAATGAGAATTTGTATTTTTCATAAAAATTATTTATATTCAACACTCACATTAAATTACTTCACTTTTTGAGTAAATTTAAGAAATATATAATAAAAACTTTAGTTTTGAGTAAATCCATTTTCGTGTTTTTTCATTATTGTTTAATATTTACTATTTATAATTTTAATTTTTATTTCTAATAATTTTTTTATTTTTTTGCTATGGCCTACGGAAGTCAGCTGATATCGCTGACAAATATGTTCATACTTGTGTACGTGTCTGCGAGGTTTTTCTTTTGACAAAACGCGTTTCAAGTTGAAATCTCAATTTGGCCGCAGGCAACTTGGATATTCGCGACTTAAATAAAACAAAAAAAAAACCAAACATAAAACATATTTTATAAAATTTACATAAAATTATGGAAAACGACAATTACGGCAAGACAACATTACAACATACCAACATACTTGTGTACATACCTAAATAAAAAAAGCAGTGAAATACCATCCCAATCAGAGGGCAATGAATGGTGGAAACATTTTTTGTTATGTTCGCAAACAAGCTCCAGAGATTAACTACTTATGTACTTACAACAAACAAGTTGTCTTCTTGAATGACAGCAAAAAAGTGCGGCTTTTATTTACGTAAATTTCAAAAGTAATTAAATATCGGAGTTTTCCAGAGAAGTAAGGAAATCGAAAGTGCCGGAAATGAGCTAAAATATCACAGCATTTTGGCCACAGGAAACATACCTTTCGATTGGCTTATAGGGATTAAACGCCAGATTTTGCCTCAACCACATTGCCTTTCGTGAATTTCCCAGAAAAATGTTTAAATTTTTTATATTTAATTCTATCAATCAAGTCAAATAAAACTTGGGGAAAAATAACGACTAAAATATAGTTAGCCATGGGCGACTATGTGAAAAATAGAAATATTGATAAACAAAAATATATTTTTCCCGTACGCATAAAACGATTCACTAAATATTTTGGCGTAATAGAAATATTTTTTTAAAGTCTCCATAACAAGAAATATATATTTATCCTCTAAGAAAGTAAAGTACACTCGTAACAAATTTTTTACTTCAGTTATTTGTTGCTGCATTATCCTAAATAAAGAGAGAACGTACCTAATGATGAAGCAAATGAAGCTCGAACTTAAAATTATTTTTATTCAAAATGGCTAAATCTTGAAGTAAATCAATCTCGCTTTTTCTGCCACCTTTTTCAAATGGGAAAATTTCTCTTCGGTACTTACTATTGAAAACTCAAAAGATGATCTCAGATTCAATGATAATTTTAGAGAAAATCTTGTGCTTCGAAACGTTCTCAGTTATATAACAATATAGGCAAGTGAGTGACGACCACAATACCCGAGTGGTTAGCACTGCGTAATACCATTCGGAAGGCTCGGGTTCAAATCCCCGTGCGACCAACAACCGAAAGTTATAGAAAATTAATTTAAATAAAAAATTAAGCTAAAATGTCAAATTGCAGTCGCCCACCGGCAGAGAATGTCAACCTCTCCGACATGAAATAAGAGCTCCTCACAAAAATGCATCGATCGTTTCACGGTTACAAAGCGTAAATTTTATATGTATATACATGTATACTCAGGTATTTAATATAATGAAGAGAGCGTAAAAAACTGTAATACAAAACTATAGAAATTCTAAGTCGCAGAAATTTTATGATTTTCGGATATTTCACACCTTCAACGACCACAGCTGCTGACGCGCGTACATACATAGCATGCAAAGCAACACGTGGACCATCCGGCAGGTAGCTGTGGTACGCATGTGCAGAGGTAAGCAGAGAAATCACAAGATTCACAGCGCACAGGAGGCAACGATTCAATGTTCAATTGTTAAATGCGCATTCCGTGAAAAATTTTTATATCGAAAATAATGCATTTTCACGTGAAAAATATTGATTTATATATATGTATGCTTGAAAATCAGCAACACATTCCTCGAGCAGCTGACACTCGCAGAGAAATCTTTCGCTTTTCGATTTACAATTTTCAAAACTAAGCGTTATTAAACATGTCGTGAAGGTCATTGTTACAATTGTATATGTGTATGTATAAACACATGCGTGTAAGTGTTAAAAATAAATAAATTTAATTAAAATTGCAGACATGAAACGAAATACACCTGTTCGGCGACTGCTGCCACAACTGTCTACAACTTATCAGCCGATTAATGTCTGCGATTAAAATAATAGATTAATATGTACGATTGTAACGACAACGCAACATAAATTTTATTGGTATGATGTAGTAGTGGCTGAACTAAACAATTTCAAATTTTATTTGAGAAGCAAAAATATTTCGCAATTGGGAAAATAATCATTGGAAGAACATATTTGATGATTTTCTGCAAAAAGAAGGTAAATTCTCATTTTCAAATTTTGATGTAGCAGCTTTTAAATACGAAAATATTATCGCAGTTTGTGTTTATTTATGTTGATGAAATGTAATAAAAGCGTAAGTAACGATTTTTTTTTGCGGACCAAACTTTTTTTTGAAATACAATAATTTTATATATTATATTTATGTGCAAGAGCTCGCTGCACGACACTCGATACTCGTTCGGTGCTCACCTGCTCGAATTTTGTTTATCGAAATTTCTTTAGCAATTCAAGTGCACTTTTGCATGAACCAAATTAAAGTTATAGCAAGAAGCTCGAGCATTTTTTTTTGGGATGACGCCCGAGAATAGGAAACTCTCATGAGTACTGTTATACCGACATAACTCTATGTACGACATGCAACCTCACATTTGCATATACGCACTAAATACCTCTCTCGCCGCGGAACTATCAATAAAATATTACTCCATGGAGCTGGTAGGCACTATGGTTCTCTCCTTAATGTATTTTAGCTCGAGTATTAGTTCGAGCAAAATCTTGAGCGCTAGTGCGAACTATAAAATATTCGAAAATCTGATATTGTTAAACAAAAGATATTTAATAATGATAGAATATTTAGATTACAGCGGCATTGTTGATATACCGTTTTTTAAATAAGAAAAATACATTAGAGAAAAATATATTTTCATTTCGAAAAAAAAAATGGAAATAAATATAATAAAATATACAAATGTTGCAAGTCACTGCCCTGCAGTACTGTTAGTAGCCAATTGATCCAAAATCTATAGCGATTTCGTTAGAAATAATTCAAATATTTACTTAGCCGTACCGTATTAATGCAGGATACCCATAGTTTTGTCTACTGGTAATGTACAATTTCGCCTGTTAAATGACAATTGTGGGAACCTACCTTTTTATTTTCACTCTTTAGATGTTATTTTTGAGCTACATTCTCCTTATACTTTAAATATTTTAATTTTTTGAATTACAATTTTGATTTTTAAACTTTTCGAATGGAAATAAATTTTATTAAAAAAAAAATCTAAAAAAATTCAGTTCTTCAATGGATGTATATATATATATATATATACAATCATATATATACAATCAATTTTTGGTGATAAAAATTTTTCAACGAGTACGTGGGTTAATATTTTCATGCTTTTCTGATGCTTCTTTGGGGGTGTAGTGGAACAAGGAGTCAATGCTTCTTGGCAACATACAAATTGAGTGTACTGGCTCAACTATGAAAGGCAATAAACTCCAGAAAAAAAAATCGTCTAGAAGCAAATGAGGTATCTACCGCTTCCAAACATACCGATTATGCTCTTGTGCCAATTTCTGAAATTACTTACATTTTTTTTTAATTAAAACCTTTAAAATTAATTATTTATTATAATCTAATGTTTATGTTCATGAAATACTATTGAAATAATTGACAAAAATATATGTATTTATGTATTTGCAATCATGAAATCTAGTGGCGATTTGGTACCATAGAAATGTTTTGAGGCCATCAAAGTAACTGATGTCTAAGTACTACAGGAGTGACTTCATTATTCGGCACTAGAGAAAAACCAGTGAAAGATAACACGAGTATATATGTATGTATTATATTTTGAATTCAGCTAGAATTTTTAAAATTTAGTACAATTGCTGAGAGAAATTAAAAACTCAGTTAAGCCATTTTAACAATTCATTTATACATAACCACATACGAGTATCTATGTATGTGGCACTGAATTAAATGTTGGCAATATTTAGACGTTGTGGCTGCGGTTTGACGCAGGCGCGCCGTGCAGCACGTGATATCAAGGCATTTTTGGTATGCGAAGCTAACGTTCGAGTCGTGCAAAAATGCAACAAGCATATAAACATACATACGTTTTTTTTTTTCTAATGCACATATATGAATGAAAACAGTAATGTGCATTCGCAGGTATGTACATAAATACAATTGAAGTTGGCAGTGCGTAGGCACCTATTTATCGTGACTTGATAAATTTTTATTATGATCAAACGAATTTATACATTTTCACTTAGTGTATACGTGTATGTAGGCACTAGCATTTGCACACAGGCAGTGCATGTACGTATGTTGTTTGCAATGACTTTGCAATGAAATTCCGTAGGTTTTTTTTTAGATTTATTTCTATTTTTTTCTTTTTTCATTTGACGCACGCACGAATGCAGCAGACGTAATTGTGAGCACAAATGGCATGTTGCAAGGTTGCAAGTTAGCGACCAACTCTATATTTCAGCAGGCATTGCTACCTTTCAATCATTTATATGTGCACACATTTTTCTCTACATACACTTACACA